ATGTCATCTGCAAACAGTGACAGTTTTACTTCTTCCTTTCCAAATTGGATTCCTTTTCTTTTTCTTGTCTGATTGCTGTGGCTAGGACTTCCAGTTACTTGTTTTTTTTTCTTTTTCTTTTTTTTTATATAGTGAGGTCAAGGTTATTCTTAGTATCACTTGTTCACCTCAGATTTATTTGCCTCTTCCTCCTGGTTTGGAGGGAAGAGATAGAGATTCCTTCTCTTTTCCCAAATGTAACGCTTATACTTCTTTTCTTGTTCTTGTCTCCCCAAAGTATTTTTCTACCATTATTCTTTAAAGAGGAATTTGTACTTACTGTTTTTCCAGTTCCTCACCATCCTGTCTTGTTCCTATCATATTGCAGAAAGTTGTTTCTAGGAGTATGAATACTAATTTTCAATATAGTGACCATACTTACTGTCCAGCCTTGTTACCTTATTTGCAACACTGTACCATATTCTTTTCTTGAAACTTCTTCCATTGCCCTGGTTAAATCTACCTACTAGTTTTCTTCCTATAATCTTTGCCTTCCTATACTTGTCTAGCTTCAAAACATTGGTATTCCCCCGAGGTTTTGTTCTTGGCTGTCTTTAATATATCTTATTTGTTCTCTTTTAGTCAGTACTTTATTCTTGAGGCTCTGAGATAGATACAGAGTTTGAAAGCTACTAGTCCAGACCACTTGGCAGCCTTTATAATCACATGAGCTAATTTCTTATAATAAATTTCTCTTTCTCCATTCTTACATGCATGAAGAGATGTCCCGTCTTGAGGCCCAGTAAGTGCAGTTGCTTATGTATCCCTCAGCCTCCTAAAGAAACTCTCCTATTGGTGGAACTTGTACCCAGAATCCTTTGGTTTGCCTTGGTGATTCTGATGGTTGCTGACAGCAATTAGTAGAGAGAAACTTCCTTGTAGAAAATGGCAGAAATTGAATGGTTCTCAATTCAATATCTTTAACTCTGGAATAGAAATTTGTTAATAGAATATTTCTAGATGATGACCAAACATCTAAATGGATTTCCAAACCCAAAATATTTACTAGAGAACTCAGTATCTTCCCCCACAAACCTTTCTTTGTTTCATATATTGAGTAATGACACTAGCAGTTTTTCTTACTATCATTTGCCTCTTTCATTCATAGAAAAACATTTGAGGACAAAATACGTGGGTTACAAATAATGACCATTCTTAGATCTCATCCTTAAAGAACTTGGGTTAGAAGGGGAGACAGGATGTGTGTATATAAGTGGAGTATGAAAGCCTTGAATGCTGCATAAAAGTTTGTGCAGGATCATTGAAGAAAAGAGATGATTTGATGCTTAAGTTGTTCAGAGTTTTAGGAAGGGATTGGGAGCAAGAGTTGAGGGAGTAGGTGTGAAATTGAAAAAAAAAATTTTGATTCCAGAAAGAGTGGAGAAAAACAAGAAAATGATGACGTTGATGTACAGATGAAATCATTGGGAACCCAGCTGTTTTTTACTTTGTGGACAGAACATTGAGTTAACTTTCCAGATTCTATTACTACCTTAATGTATGACTAGATAATTGATTATTACAATCTGTTTTTGCCACTGTCAGTTGAAACTCGTAACCTGCTTGAAGGAAGGGACTAATACATGAAAGGCACTGTAAAAAATATTTTTTGATTAAAAAAAAAGCATCTGGGAATGCCGTTAAGGAGATTCAAAATCTGTTAATAGGTGGAACATGAAAAACAGAGATAAGATAGTTATAGGTCAACAAAAATACACGTTTGTTTTTGTTTTTTTTTAACAGCATTGCTTGTACAAAGGTCTCGATGCTGTCTTTCTCTCATTTTTTTTTAAAAAAAATTTATTTATTTATTTGGCTGTGCCGGGTCTTACATGCAGCACTCGGGATCTCTAGTTGCAGCATATGGGATCTAGCTCCCCAACCAGGCCCCCAGCATTAGGAACATAGAGTCTTAGCCACTGGGAAGTCCCTCTCTCATGTTTTAGAGGTTTTGTTTTTTTTTTAAGGAGACTTTGTTGTGAGGTGATTAAGGTAGGTAGTGATTAAGCTAGGTAGTTAGTGATTAAGCTAGGTTGCCTAGGTTGAAATACTAACATTTTTTTAGTCCTGTGATCTTGTTGCCTCTTTAACTTCTTTGTGCCTCATTTTTTAATGTGTAAAGTGGGGATAATAGTCATGTTACACATCAACTAGAACTTTGTGAAAAATAAATAATACATACATACGTACATAAATGACTAAATTTCTCACAGCAGAACCTGGCATGTGAGAAATGCTCAGTAATTGCTAGATTTTTGTGTGTGTGGCATCTCACTGTAATTTAGGTATTATAATAATCATAAGACTTATTTTATAGAATACATTAATTATGAAAATTACTACTATTTTAGGAAATAATTGAAGGAACTACCTAGTGCCTTATAATTTTTCAGTGTTTTGTGATCACTATGGCAAATTCATTGGTTATATGAAAGTAACTTTTAACTTGTTTTTAGTGGGAACAAAACATTTAACAAATTAAACCAATGGTTGAGTGCCTTCTGAATTGGATATAAAGTTTTGCAAAAATATGAAATTCAAATTAAATTTGATTCTTGTATTCAAGGAACTTTCATATTAGGACAAATATAAAACAGGATGTAATAATGTGGTATTTGGTTCAGACTAAGTACTTAGAAATGTTAAGAGGGAAGAAATGCTCCATACTAAATTTTCATAAAAGACAGTGTAGATGAAGTGGCATTCCATTGGGCTTTAAAAAATTAATGGATCTTGGACTTGTGCTGTGAGGGAAAGTTAGGAGGAAGCTTTGAAGACAAACAGCAAGGATTCAGAGGCAAGATAGTTCAGTTTGTACTTTATAGGAACAGGATATGATTCAGGTTCACTTGGACGTAATATTCATTTGGGAAGTTCTGGGAAATACAACTGGGTTAGATTGTAGCAGACTTGGAATGGCAAACCAGAGGCTTTGTTTACAAATGCATTTTTCTAACCTGCAGAAAATATTTATATATTTGTTCTCTAATCTTGCTTGTTATTGTCATCTCTTACATCTAAGAAGGATAGTATTTTGAATGCTAGAAAGAAAATTAAGTCTCTGTATAACAACAAAAAAAAGACAATTTTCTTTAAAACAACAAACATTTATTTATTTTTGGCTGTGCTGGATCTTTGGTGCTGTGTGGGCTTTTCTCTAATTGTAGGGAGTGGGGGCTACCCTCTAGTTGCAGTGCACAGACTTCTCATTGCAGTGGCTTCTCTTGTGGAGCATGGGCTCTAGGGTGCTTGGACTTCAGTAATTGTGGCTCCTGGGCTCTTGAGCACAGGCTCAATAGTTGTGCGTGGGCTTAGTTGCTCTCAGGCATGTGGGATCTTCCTGGACCAGGGATCAAGGTGAATTCTTTACCACTGAGCCACCATGGAAGCCCGACATTTTCTAATTCTAATGAAACTTCCGTGTTTAAACCATATTGTTCCTCGGAAATAGAGTATTAGAAGTCTAGAAATATAAAAATCCATTCTTAGAATAGTATGGTCTATTTGCTATAATACTTTCTTTTGTAACACAAATTAACTTCTGTAACTGGTACCTATGGGATTGATGTAAGTATAATGGGAAAGTAGCATTTGTTTTAAAATCATCTTTCCCAACATATTAATACTTCAAAGCAGTCAAGAACAAACTCTCCTAGTTAAAGGGAAAGCCTTAGTAATTCAAGAAAATACTAGAAAAACTTCTGTGAAAGTTCCACAGAAGTAAAAAATGGTGGCTTCAAGAACAGTTCCAATTCCACAGGGTTAAGCATTCTGGTGAAGCAGTGAGTGTAGACAGAGAAGCTGTAAAGACATTCATTTTTTGCATGAAGAAGTCTACATCCTGGATTGTATTTTTAACTTCATTGAAATTCTGCTCTTCAGAATGTATATAACAAATTAGGAAGCAGGAGCTCCAGGATTTAAAGAGGCTTCAAAGAATAGAAGATCATAATTCTAGGTGCAAATTTAAGTATAGATTTAATTGTTCTAGTATTTTTGTAAGGATTCTCATTGTTTTAGTTAGGACTTTGGTTACACTGATTTTGAGTAGTCTGCCTTTGTTTTTATCCATGAACTCTGTTATTTGTAGTAGCAGCTTTTCTAGAACTCTAGGCTGGTCACTTCACCATGTATATATCATATTATAGCAGAAAAGGCTCTGCCATGTTTTAAAAGCAGTAAATTAATAAAGGAATTGTTGCCCTGAATTTTCTTATCCAACAAAGCCTTATGTGCTATGGTTATTGAAATCCACAACAACTCTTGAAATTTATACATGGTGTTCGCCTTCACTCAATTTCAAGTTGAGAATGTTCCCATTCTAATTTTAAGGGAAATTTACATTTGAAATTTGTGCTAAATCAAGTGTTTTTATGTAGTAAGTCAAAACACCTCTAAATGGACTCTGCTGTTTGACTATGCTTGGGTAGTGAATTTTTGTCCTTATATGTTTTTGATCAGAAATTTGATAACAGAAATTTTGGTTAGACATAAACTTAACTTTTGAAAGATTGTCAGGATGTTTGTACAAGTTTATTAACATAGAAAATGCCCACTCATTGTTTATAGAGGAGTCCCGGTTCCAAATGGGCTTGTTCTCTTCCTTTTCATAAGACAGAGTGTAGTCCTTTAATTTCATTTAGCTGTTAACTTTATGAAGTATTCATTTCTGAAAGATTTTGAATGGAAGTGCATTTAGCATTACATTCTTACTGACCAATACTAAATACAGCCTATTTCTACTTTTGAACAAGTAAAACCAATGAACTTTAAAATAAGGCTTAGTTGGCATTGCTTTTATAGGGCTAGAAATCCATACTTTAAAATTTTGTTACTGATAGGATTTATTTAACCTCCATATTTTTGTACATGTTTTCATAAAAATGTGTTTGTGCTATATTGCTATTTAGCATTTTGGGAATCTTATTTTAAAATAAAACCTTTTTTTTTTTAAATTACAGAAAGACCCAAATGGGACCAGTACTTTGCCACCTGAAAGTTCTCTTCTGCAAGAAATTGAAGTACAGAATGAAGAAGTAGCAGCTTTTTGTCAATCCATTACAAAGTAAAACATTTTTCTTTATAAATTAAAGTTTATTCTTATTAAATAATTTTTAAAAATTTAACTATAAAACCAGCTTAGTGCTAATGATTATAAAATTTTTAAATAGTTTTTCTCTGTCACTAAAACATCAAGACAGTTAATTGGTACGTTAACACAAACTACACTTGAACCTTAAGTTTCTGAGTATTTAGAAGGAAAAATTAAGGTTAGTCAGTATACTTCTGATACTGTATTACTGAGGGAAAATATGCCTTAAATATAGAAGTTATTTTAGAATTAGAAAATACCTTTTTTTGTTGTTGTTATTGTTACAAGGAGACTTAACTTTGCTGTAAATTTTCTAGCATTCAAAATACTGTTCTATTTAGATGTAAAAGATGCTATAACAAGCAAGATTAGAGAAGCAAACATATTTTCTGAAGGTTAGAAAATTGCCTTTCTGAAATGTTCTTTTAACCTGAAATGTGTCCAGTGTTCTTAGTGTATGAAGAAACTGAGGCTTGAAGTTACCTACTGAAGTTCACGTTACTCAGCTAGTCCGTAACAGCCAGGTCTCCATCACCTCCGGTTCAGTGTGTTTTCTTTCCATTATATCACTGTATTAGTCAGTACTTCTGTTATGAGGTCAAGAAACCCATCTTAAACTAGCATAAATCAAGAACGGTTGTGTATTGATTCACAAACCCATATAGTAGAAAGCGGGAGGATGGGGCAGTGCTCAGTGACAGCAAGATCCAGGAATTCACACACTGTAGTTGATGCCTCCTCTCTTTGGACTTTTCTTTCTCCCTTTTCTCCCCCTGCCTTTTCACCATGCTTGTTTACTTCTATTACAGATGGGGTTTTGAAGCCACTGATAGCTTAGACTTGATATTCTAATGGTCTTGCTGGCAGAAAGGAATGAATCCTTTTAGCCAGCACCAGATAGAAAAGTCCCACGGAAGGAAAGAGTGGACAACAGACATTGCAGCCAACAGGGTGGGATCTGTTATCAAAAGAAGGAAAAGTAGATCACTACTGGGAGATTTATTCTTTTTTAAAAAAATATTTTGTATTGGAGTATAGCCAGTTAACAAACAATGTTGTGATAGTTTCAAATGAACAGCAAAGGAACTCTGCCATATATATACATTCTCCCCCAAACTCCCCTTCCATCCAGGTTGCCACATAACACTGAGCAGAGTTCCATTGAGCAGTAGGTCCTTGTTGGTTATCCATTTAAAATATAGCACTGTGTACATGTCCATCCCAAAGTCTATCCCTTCCTCTCAACCTTCCCTTCTGGCAACTATAAGCTTGTTCTCAGTCTATAAGTCTGTTTCTGTTTTGTACATAAGTTCATTTGTATTGTTTCTTTTTAGATTCCACATATAAGGGATGTCATATATTTTTCCTTTAACTTACTTCACTCAGTATGACACTCTCTAGGTCCATCCATGTTGCTGTAGATGGCGTTATTTCATTCTTACTAATGGCTGAGTAATATTCCATTGTATATATGTACCGTATCTTCTTTAGCCATTCCTCTGATGGACATTTAGGTTGCTTCTGAGTGATTTACTTTGAATCCAGTATTTTCCCAGTGTGATTTAAGCAAAGCAGAGTTTGGAGTTCCTAGATCATTTTTGAGTGTATTCATCATTTTTATTATAAGGAACTTATTAAACTAGACTTTCTAGACTATTGGTAATGTTTGATTACAGTTCTGTCTTTCCTATGTATCACTTTCTAACCAGCATTCTTTTTTCTTCAGAATACTTTAAGGGAGAAAGAAAAATATCAGTAGAGTCACTGTTTCTTTCCTGTGCAAAGGTTACTCTTAACTGGATTTTTTTTTTTTTTAATTTTTATTTATTTTTTAGCCGCACTGGGTCTTCTCACTCTTCTTCTGGGCTTTTAGTTGTAGCAAGCAGGGGCTACTCTCTAGTTGAGGGACGTGGGCTTCTCACTGCAGTGGCTCCTCTGGTTGTGGACCACAGGCTTTTGAGTGCATGAGCTTAGCTGCCCCTCAGCATGTGGGATCTTCCCGGGCTGGGGATAGAACCCGTGTCCCCTGCATTGGCAAGGGGATTCTCAACCAGTGGACTACCAGGGAAGCCCTTAACTGGATTTTTAAAACTCACGTTTTTCAGTAGACATTTAAAATAGACATTCAGGTGACTTAGAATTCAAATTGCATGTATCAGAAATTACCTGTGCCTTTATGCCACATATACATACCATTATGTGTGTGCGGTTAAGAATTTGGAAATAATCTTTTAATGGTTTGAAATTAATCTGATAAATGTTCATCCAGTTCCTTTAATTTTCTCTCCACACAAGCCCTATTAGACTGTGTTGAGTGGCTATTGCATTTAAGTTTTGCATGTTGAGAAATTAGGCTTTTTGTGATCTACCTGGTTTTTCTGCATTTGAATCTTATTGTTATTTATATAAACTCTGCCACTAAGCTAAGATGATATTTTTTTATTTACATGCATATGCACACACAAACACAAATGGCTTATGAATATTAAAACCTCAGATGAATTAGAGAGAATATTATTTCTGTTAGTTAGAGTGGGATTGTAACAAATATTTCACAGAAGTAAGAGGCAGAGGTGTTATGAAGCCATGTTCTAGAAAATTCTCTGTTCCCCTCTTGACCTTGGAGATTGGAGTCCAATATGTCTTGAAGAAATTAATGGCACTTTCTATTTTTTCCAATATGCAGATTTTAAAAACAAGTATTTATACTCTTAGTTAACTCCTTATTTTTTTTGAAATCTCCTAAAATGATTATTTTAATTCAGCTGTGTTATTACTGTAAGATTGTCATTATGCTATTTGTTTATAGTTAAGCCTACTGTAATAGAATTTAGTGCCAGTTCTAGGCCTTGTTTTTTTGCTCCTGTGAAATTAGGGAGTTGGATTAGTGATCTCAAGGGTAGCTTTCAGGTAAAGTTGTGTACAATACTTTGATTCAGGACATTGCATTTTTAAAATTTTTATTTCTTGTTTTCTTGACTTTCACGCTCATCATAATTGACAGAGCTTGCTGTATCTACTAGTTACTTAGGTCTCCAGAGAAAGTACTGAGAGGAATGTTAGATACCAATGGAAATTTTTGCTGCTTCATTTCTGGTCTTCTAGGACAAGATGAATACTATACTTTACACTTGTTGTTCTGAGTAGCCTTTAGTTTCCTTTCTTCATTTATGTTCCTATCTGATATTTATAATCTAAAAAGTGTCTTGAACCCAAGGAATCAAGGACTTCACCTCTGCATTTAGTTTATTTATTCTAAGTAATGCTGACTCAACTTTCTTATAAAGTAGTATCAATTCAATTGAAAACCCTCCCTTTTATATTTACCTTTTAAAACCTTCATTTTTATGTCTTCTGTCTTTCTGATTTGGCTCTGTCTATATGTAACCTTAACTTGATAGCACATAGTATGAAATAAACCATAAAGGATTTTGGTATTTGCATAAAGATAATTAATTTCCTGAGGTATAGAGCCACATTAAGCAAACAGAGCCGTTGCTTTGTTGATGATAGGGAAATGGACCCTGAATATTCATTGGAAGGACTGATATTAAAGCTCCAATATGTTGACCTTCTGCTACAAACAGCTGCTTCATTGGAAAAGACCCTGATGCTGGGTAAGATGAGGGCAGGAGGAGAAGAGGGTAGCAGAGGATGAGATGGTTGGATGGCATCACCAACTCAGTGGACATGAGTTTGAGTAAACTCTAGGAGATCGTGAAGAACAGGAAAGCCTGGTGTGCTGCAGTTCATGGGGTTGCAAAAAGTTGGACACAATTTAGTGACTGAATGAGGGAAATAGATGCTTTAAAGAAAATGAAAATCAGTATAAAAAAATGCTCTTTGTAGATAATTACTTACAATGTGTGGTTTAGAGTGTTCATAAAATACTTTATCTAGTCTATTATATATAAAGTGAAAATTTACTCAGCAATTATCAGTTTACTGATAATTAGTAATTGATAATTAATAATTAATTGATAAGTAATTGATATCAATAAGTAATTGATAATTGATAATTAGTAATCTTCATTTGTATATTTAAAAGTTCAGTTACAAACAGAACAAAAGAAACCACAACTTGAAGCAGTCTGTTACCATCTTAGTTTTTTCTCAGTTTTTTTTTTTTTTTTTTAAGATTTATTTGTTTATTTGTGGGTCCTCATTGCCACACTTGGGCTTTCTCTAGTTTCAGGTGGAGGCTACTCTTTGTTGCGGTGCATGCGTAGACTTCTCATTGCAGTGGCTTCTCTTGTGGAACACAGGCTCTAGGGTGTGCAGGCTTCAGGCTTCAATAGTTGTGGCACATGAGCTTAGTTGCTCTGAGGCATGTGGGATCTTCCCAAATCAGGGATTAAACCCATGTCTTCTGCATTGCCCGGTGGATTCTTTACCTCTGGGCTATCAGGAAAGCCCTAAGTGCAACTTTTATCACTATAATTTTTGTTCAGTAAATTCTTGTTTTCTGAGTTATCAGGAATTTATGATTTTTCCTTTATCATCCTTAATGGTTTCTGAAAATTGAAGGCTTCCTTGGATATAAAGGTTTTTTGTGTTTTTTTTTACCATTACATATATTAGTTAGCTATGGATTTGCTGTGAGTATCTTATTTCATATTGTAGGAAATGAGAATACCAAATATGTGAGAAAAAATAAAAATCTTAGGCTGGATTATATGAAGGTTTTGTCGTGTTGCAAGGGCACGTGTTGCTTGACAACAAGCAAATATTTGAAGATAATGTGTCCACATCTAAAGGTGCATTTCCTGTATCAATTTAAGTTTATTACTTTATGTTGCCTTTTTTTTCAATTATATTTCTTTTTAATATTGGATCCTTTGTGGCACTTAAGAAACCAGATTTATTCATTCACTCATTCATTCATTCAAGGTTTTTATAGCACTGACCATGTACTAAACACTATTCTGAATGTGCTTAAAAACTAAATTTACATAATTCTCACAACAAACCCATGAAGTTAGTATTATCCCCAGTTTATAGAAGAGGAAACTGAAGCAACAAGGTGATTTGTAAGTAAGCTAGTAAGTAGTAAAATCAGGATTTCAAGTTGAGTAGACTGACTCTAGAAGCTGTGCATGAATATTTACACTTGTTGCCTCTTCAGAACCTTTCTTATTGTCAACTCAGACTATTTTATTCTGTTCCAGTCACTTGATTATTTTAATCTCTGCTTGGAAGTGAATAGATAAAACTTAGGCATTCATTCCATTTACAGCCCTATGAAAAGAAGATGTAAGGATTGGAACTTGTCCTCTAACTTCCAGAAGAAAGTCAATTATATTTAAACTATTTTGCTACTGTGAATACCAAGAATACATCACAGACAATTTTTTGCCATTCCCTAAGTTTTATTTTTATTCACTTTGATGGAATAAAGCCCTCATAGCACAGTAGAAACCCATTGCCTCTGTTTTTCTATCACGCTAAACAACCAAAATCAATATGTAAGAGAAAGGACATCAGAAGAAAAGATTTTTAATAGACAGCAAATTTTCTGTCCTTCTGGTAATTACAGTTTAGGGCTATCACCTATATCATGGTTCATTAAAAATGTATTATTTTGTGAAATGACACTGCTTAACAAAAAATCAGAAGCAGAGAAACTCATTTAATGTTTTGTATCCAGTGTGTGCTTGGTTAATGTTGATAGCATTATCACAGCTATCCTGGAATTACTTAATCTCTTTTCTTGGATTCCTTTTATTTAAAAGGCAGACAGGAGTCCATTCATTGCATTTCTCCTGAGCTGCTCTAGAATTGGACAAAAACACAGAACTGAATGGCTGTAAGCATGCAAAACCTTATTCAGGGCTCTCAAATGCAGCTTTCAAAAGAGAATTTAATTTCTTCTTTTTTTGTGACTAGATTGAAGACCAACTTTCCATATACCAATCACTGCACAAATCGGGGCTATTTGTTAAGTCCAGTCACAGTGCAAAGAAATATATGTGGAGAAAATGCTAGTGTGAAGGTCTCCATTGAAATTGAAGGATTTCAGTTACCAGTTACCTTTACATGTGATGGTAGGTTCATAGTTCCCTAACCATCTTGTTTTGCTCTGATTAGTAAGAAAATGTTTAATATGTTAATGTTATTCTTTTAATAAAGTGGCTCTTTTATCATTGGGTATTTTTTTTTAAATGTATGTGTGTGTGTTGTGTGTGTGTGTGGTAAAATACTTAATATGCATTAGCTATCCTTTTCCAGAAATTGACATTCATATGGATAGTTTTTTGGTATGGATTAGTGAGAAAGTTTACTTTTATAACTACGTATTTCTTTGAAAAGTATTGAGTATCTTGGTTAATCAGTGGCTCTTGGCGAAAACCTGAAAGCATTAGCTAGAAACGCTAATTATGTTCTTATTCCTTATATTCTAAAAGAAGACTTATTCTTTTTAAACATTTCTTAAATTTTGATTTAGGGAATCATTAAAGTATTCAGTAAGAATTAGTACTAAAATTGAAGGAAATAATGGTCCATAACTTCTTGATTGAATTAAGCATTGAAAGCCTTGAGAGCAAGTGTTTTAATTTGTATCAAAGTTTTACTTGATATATCAAGATTTGATTCATTTTAAAAATATATCAAATGCTTATTGTTTGGCTATATAAATGTGCACATTTATAATGTACATCTCTGTTAAGAAATATAACCATATTATCGTAGAAGTGCTTTGTGTGTTTAAATAACTGTTAGGATACATATAAATGTGTTCAGAAATATAGCTATTGTATTAGATAGAGGTTTTATGGCCTTTTCTGTCAAGCTATTGATTTTCATGAATTTTGAATATAGTCATTGTCTTCTAAAATAAGAGCTCTAAGTATAAAAATAGGTTACTTTGGTTGTAATGGTTTGTAATCTTGGTATCCAGCTATTGCCAAGTATGGTAATTAAATAATATGTCCTACTTGCTATATTTTTATTCTTTATTGGAAAATTTACCAGGCAAATGTCAGCTGTTTAAAATGGTGATTCTTTTTCCTTGTAATTTGGTTTAATTAATTGCTTGCTAGATACTGCTAAATGTTATCCTCTTTGGAGGAGTCTGTAAAACAGAGGTGGTTTCTTAGCTTAGATCTGCCCAGTCTAATACAATAACCACCAGCCACATGTGCGATTACTTGAAATATGGCTAATATAGATTGAGATGTTCTATAAGTGTAAAATACACACTGGATTTCAAAGACTTAGTTTGAAAAGAGAATGTAAGATATCCTATTAGTAAATTTTAAATACCAGTTGCTATATATTGAAATGATACTTTAAATATATTAATTTAAATAAAACATATTATTAAAATTAGCTTCCTCTGTTTCTCTTTACTTTCTTCAATGTGACACTAGAAAATTTTAAATAATATATGTGACCTGCATTGTATCTCTCTTATATAATGCTGTTTTAGACTGTGAGAAATAGTCTGAATAGGTATATACTTAGAGTTAAATGAGTAAAATGAAAATAATGACTAACTCTTTTACAGTGAGTTCTACTGTAGAAATCATTATAATGCAAGCCCTTTGCTGGGTACATGATGACTTGAATCAAGTAGATGTTGGCAGCTATGTTCTGAAAGTTTGTGGTCAAGAGGAAGTGCTACAGAAGTAAGTGTTTTCATTTAATTACTAAGCAGCATTTTTGGAAATTTCATTTTAGTGGGTTAGATTAAAAAACTTTCAAGTTAAATTTATAGTCTAAAGCCACATTGGGTTCCAGTGAATTGATTTATTGGGTCAGCTAACTTATATTGAGATATGCATTATCTGACATGATATTGCCCTTAAGAAGCTGATAGTCTTAGATGGGAAGAATGGTGGGTAATTGGTTGACAGATGAATTTAATTTTTTTTCTTTCTGCAGAGAGGCAATAGTTACTTCATTATGAACTCCATTTTCCTTTTGTGGCATGTAGTATTTCTTTAGCCGCAATGTTTCGCTGTGATTTCCTTTTAGCTGCCTGAAAATATCATTATATGAATCTTTTTTTGAACCTACCAGAAATTCTCTGTCCCTGTTTTTTTCCCTTCTTTGTCTTCATCTTCTTTCTTCTTTGCTTTAACTCTTCTCATGTAAAATTATTCCTCTATATAAATGCTCATATTTGGTTTAAAGATCTTTATTTTGTCATCCTCTTCAATTTCTGATGCATAAACAATTTATATTTACTCTCTATTATTTCTAATTTGAGGAGAATAATGTTGATGAATAACTAATATATTTTAACAGTAATCATTGTCTTGGAAGTCATGAACATATTCAAAACTGTCGAAAATGGGACACAGAGATTAAACTACAACTTTTGACCTTCAACGCAATGTGTCAAAATCTGGCCCGAACAGTAAGTGTGTACCCTATACTGAATTGCATTTGGTTGAATCTGAATAACTTTGTTAATCAGCCAGTTTGCAATTTGTACCTTCTTTAAGAGATTTGGGTTTGACTGCGAGTGAGGAACTCTTTATCCCCTATGGAAGTCTTTATAGCAGATGGGGGAAACTTTCAATCATGGAGGTTTAGGTAGCATAATACTCAGAGCTGGAGGCATGTGTAAAAATCAGACTGGAAGAATTTGACTCGTAATAGTTTTACACAACTTATACAATGAAAACATCAGCATCAGTCAAGGAGAACTGAGGAAGAAAGATTTTGAATGCTAAATATGGTTTGGGGGAGAAAAAGATACATATTGACATTTGCACCAAACTGAGGAAAATATATTATTTTTCACCACATGAAAACTAATTCTCTGTTCTAAAAGTATAGTACTTTATTTTGAGGTTAAAGCAAAATAGAATATAAGAATTTAGGCCATTTTATTTCCTGATGAATTTTAATATGTAAAGAGAGATAATCTTTCTTCATTTGGTAGAATTTGGGGAAGAAAAATATCTGTCATTTCTGCTTTCTCTTTTCTTTATTTTCCTCGGTTTTGCTCCTATTTAGGTAGAGTTTATTTCACTTGGGTGAAAACTGTTTCACAAAATTCAGTGCATTTTATCATATCATTAGTAACTACTCTTTTCAGTTTCCTAAGGAGCGATGTTCTTGAGTTTGCATAGTAAGGGTTATGGTTGAAAAGACCAGAACCTCACTTACTGAAGGTGAGGTAGAAGGAAATTTGATTATCATTAGAAGATATAATGCAGAAATTCAGATGCTCTCTTCTCATCTGGTTCCCACCTCACCTTCATTTGGCTGTCAGCCATCTTTAAAAGTGTTTTTAGCTCTCCATTCTCTCTCTATAGAACAGAAGTGGTTTTCCTTTGAAAAATATTTACATATCAGAAACTAAACTTCAAAGTATTTATGTTTTTTCTGTTTAAAAAACAGGTTTTTTAGAAGACGGTCACTTTTCTGAGTCAATTATAAATATTTAAAGCCTTAGTTCTGAAAAATCACTTTCTTTCCAAGAGTTTATCATATGCTTAACCCTGTTTAACTTGGCAATAGAAAGACTAACTAATGGATTTCATTATTTGATAAATGTTTGTCTATATGTGTTTATTTAGGCGGAAGATGATGAAACACCTGTGGATTTAAACAAGCACCTGCATCAAATAGAAAAACCTTATAAAGAAGTCATGACGAGGTGTGGCATCTAAAACATTAATTTCAGATTTTCACACTTTACTTTTGGATGTGAATGCATTTATTTTGGTAAATAAAACAATCATTCTTGTATATAGTATCTTTCAGCCACAGTAACTGTTCTTCATTTTAGACATCCTGTTGAAGAACTTTTAGATTTGTATCACAATCAAGTGGAGCTGGCTCTTCAAATTGAAGTAAGTTCTAATTCATATTTTGGCATGATGGTTTAAAGATTCTTTTCTCTGTATTCTCTTAAATATTAGTGTTGAAATTGGATCAAATATTTTAGAAGGACTATTTAAACTATATTCTTGATGTTGCTATTTGAGAACTTGTTTTCTGATCCAGCATATTAATAGAAATTTAGTGCTTGGGTTACTTCAGCTTTATTACTGAGAGGAACCTTCAGTTCAATTCAAAAAGCATTTATTGAATGCTTGCTAGATGCTGGGATTATGAAAATGAATGACCTGAGGAACTACCAGGAACTATCAGGAATGACCTAACAGGAACTTAAACAGAGACTTAAATAGAATTTCATTATAGTAAATGTAGAATAGGAGTATGCATTGAGGTTTTTTGAAAGATCAAACAAGGGCACTTCTCCAGTCATCTTGAGAGTTCAAGGAAGAGGCCTCTAAGAAGGGATATTGCCAAGTCTTAAATGGTATGAGTTAGCTAGAAGATAGTTGGAAAGGGTGTGTGAACAAAAGTATGTAGGTATGATACATATGGGGAACATAAGCACTTACCTGATATGAAGTGTGACGTGAAGATTGAAAGATGACATTGGAGATAGGCCAAGACAAATTATCACCTATAATCCGTATTGTTTTACTTTATTCTCCAGGTCAGGGGGCCGTGTACAGTCTGCTTCCAATTCTTGTAAATAAAAATTTGGCGGGGGCACAGCCACATCCATTTGTTCATATGTTTTCTATGACTGCATCTGTGCTCTAATACTAAAGTTGAGTAGTTGGGACAGAGACCATATGTCCTGCAAAGCCTAAACAAGTTACTATTTTCATTTTATAGGAGATGTTTGCTGGCCCCTTCTGTAATCATTTAAGGTGTTATTTAAGGTGTTTTAAGCTGAGGGTACGAAGTGGAGTGGGGTAGAGTGGTTGACTTGTTTAATCTTGAACTTTGAAGTCCCTCTGCCTCAACGAAGTTAAATTTAGGGTTGCCAGGATTGGTCTCAGGGAGACTACTTAGGCAAGACTTTTTATAGTGGTCTAGGTAAAAGACACGTTTCCCTGGTGGCTCAGTGGTAAAGAGTCCACCTGCCAATGCAGGAGATGTAGATTCAGTCCCTGGGTCAGGAAGATCCCCTGGAGAAGGAAATGGCAACCCACTCCAGTATTCTTGCTTGAGACACCCTATGGACAGAGGAGCCTGGTGGGCTATAGTCCATGGGGTCACAAAGGAGTTGGACACGACTTAGCGACTAAACAGCAACAGCAGATAATATATAATGAGTATGATGACAGTAAAGAGAAGGGACTGATTAATGATATTTAGGAGATAAAATTGGCTAGATTTTGATAGATAATGAGATATAAGTGAAGAAGAAATAATGTAGGATGACTTCCAGATTTCTAGCTACTAGTATATATTTTTGATCAGTATATAACTACATCAATTTATTTAATAGATATTTACTGAATTCTCTCTCAAGTCACTGTTGTCGGTGTTGAGCATAAAACAGTGGACAAAAGAAACTGTAATCCTTGCCCTTTAGAGAATTTGCTTTCTAGTTAGAGGAAATAGAAGTTCAATAATAAACTGGCAAGGTATATATTAAGTGGTAAGTGCTATTAGAGAAAAATAAAGGGGGAGGGTAATGTTGCAATTTCAAATAAGATAATCAGAGAAGGGCTCAGTGAGAAGATGAATTTGAGTAAATTACTGGAGAAGAGAGGAAGAAGCTACCTGGTTATCTGGTGAATGGGTATGCCTGGGATATAGAAGGTCTCCCAGGCTAGACTAGAATGAGGAGAGGGGCAAGAGTAGAAACAAATCAATGAGGAGAGAGAATGATGGCTTAGACCAGAGTGATAGTAAAAGTGATGAAAAGTTAATGCTAGGAAGATTTACCAATAGATTGGATGTGGAACATGAGAGAGGGAGAGATGTATAATTTCAGTATTTTCTACCTGAGCACATTGGAAGTTTGGAGTTGCCTTTAGTGAGAGGTAGAAAACAGAGAGCAAGTTTATGGGGAAGATCTGAACTCGGTTTGGACACTGTGTTTGAGATGACTGTTATTCATCCAAATAGTAATATTGAGTAGATAGATGGATATGGATCTGAAATTTAATGTAGGAGATCCCGGCTGGTGATAATAAACTGGGGAATCATCAGACTATAAATATTTTGCAGTCCTAAAACTGGATGAGATCACCAAGAAAACCATTGCAGGTAGAGCAAAAAAAGTTTAAGGACAGAGCCATCGGTGTATCTTCCATCTTAGAAGAAAACAGTTCAGTTCAGTTGCTCAGTTGTGTCCGATTCTTTGCAACCCCATGAATCGCAGCACGCCAGGCTTCCCTGTCCATCACCAACTCCCGGAGTCTAACTCATATCCATGGAGTCGGTGATGCCATCCAGCCATCTCATCCTCTGTCGTCCCCTTCTCCTCCTGCCCCCAAACTCTTCGCATGAGGTGGCCAAAGTATTAGAGTTTCAGCTTCAATATCAGTCCTTCCAATGAACACCCAGAACTGATCTCCTTTAGGATGGACTGGTTGGATCTCCTTGCAGTCCAAGGGACTCTCAAGAGTCTTCTCCAACACCACAGTTCAAAAGCATCAATTCTTCAGTGCTCAGCTTTCTTCACAGTCCAACTCTCACATCCATGCATGACCACTGGAAAAACCATAGCCTTGACTAGATGGACTTTTGTTGGCAAAGTAATGTCTCTGCTTTTAAATATGCTATCTAGGTTGATCATAACTTTCCTTCCAAGGAGTAAGTGTCTTTTAATTTCATGGCTGCAATCACCATCTGCAGTGATTTTGGAGGCCAAAAAAATACAGTCTGACACTGTTTCCCCTTCTATTTCCCATGAAGTGATGGGACCAGATGCCATGATCTTAATTTTCTGAATGTTGAGCTTTAAGCCAACTTTTTCACTCTCCTCCTTCACTTTCATCAAGAGGCTGTTTAGTTCCTCTTCACTTTCTGCCATAAGGGTGGTCTGCATATCTGAGGTTATTGATATTTCTCCTGGCAGTCTTGATTCCAGCTTGTGCTTCTTGCAGCCCAGCGTTTCTCATGATTTACTCTGAATGTAAGTTAAATAAGCAGGGTGACAATATACAGCCTTGACATACTCCTTTTCCTGTTTGGAACCAGTCTGTTATTCCATGTCCAGTTGTTAACTGTTGCTTCCTGACCTGCATAAAGTTTTCTCAAGAGACAGGTCAGATGGTCTGGTATTCTTATCTCTTTAAGAATTTTCCAGTTTATTGTGATCCACACAGTCAAAGGCTTTGGCATAGTCAATAAAGCAGAAATAGATGGTTTTCTGGAACTCTCTTGCTTTTTTGATGATGCAGCAGATGTTTGATCAGTTTGATCTCTGGTTCCTCTGCCTTTTCTAAAACCAGCTTAAACATCTGGAAGTTCTCGGTTCACGTATTGCTGAAGCCTGGCTTGGAGAATTTTGAGCATTACTTTACTAGCATGTGAGATGAGTGCAATTGTGCGGTAGTTTGAGCATTCTTTGGCATTGCCTTTCTTTGGGATTGGAATGTAAACTAACCTTTTTCAGTCCTGTGGCGACTGCTGAGTTTTCCAAATTTGCTGGCATATTGAGTGCAGCACTTTCACAGCATCATCTTTCAGGATTTGAAATAGCTCAACTGGAATTTCATTACCTCCACTAGCTTTGTTCGTAGTGATGCTTTCTAAGACCCACTTGACTTCACATTCCAGGATGTCTGGCTCTAGGTGAGTGATCACACCATCGTGATTATCTGGGTCGTGAAGAACTTTTTTTGTACAGTTCTTCTGTGTATTTTTGCCACCTCTTCTTAATATCTTCTGCTTCTGTTAGGTCCATACTATTTCTGTCCTTTATCGAGCCCATCTTTGTGTGAAATGTTCCCTTGGTATCTCTAATTTTCTTGAAGAGATCTCTAGTCTTTCCCATTCTGTTGTTCTCCTTTATTTCTTTGCATTGATTGCTGAGGAAGGCTTTCTTATCTCTCCTGGCTATTCTTTGGAACTCTGCATTCAGATGGGAATATCTTTCCTTTTCTCCTTTGCTTTTCGCTTCTCTTCTTTTCACAGCTATTTGTAAGGCCTCCTCAGACAGCCATTTTGCTCTTTTGCATTTCTTTTCCATGGGGATGATCTTAATCCCTGTCTCCTGTACAGTGTCACTAACCTCCGTCCATAGTTCATCAGGCACTCTGTCTATCAGATCTAGTCCCTTAAATCTATTTCTTACTTCCACTGTATAATCATAAGGGATTTGATTTAGGTCATACCTGAATGATCTAGTGATTTCCCCTACTTTCTTCAATTTAAGTCTGAAGAAAACAAGAAGAAAATAGAAGAAAACCAGAAGTCCAGATTCCTCTGTAGTAGCCACCCAACTTAGCAGACCTCTTGAAAGTTAATCTGTTTTTTCTCCTTACACTTCCTCTCTTCTCATTTTCTTGTGTACCCACTCCAGTCAGGCTTCTCTGAAACTGCACTTAAGATCATCAAGGACTTCAAGGGTCATGGTTCCAGTAATAAGTTCTTAGTCTCTTTTTCTCTACTTTGCTATAGTATTAGAGTTGATTGTTTCTTCCTTCTTGAAATACTCATATGGCTTCTGGGATATCATATTCCTGGTTCTCCTACTTCCAGTGTCTGCTCTGTTTTCACTCATACTTGTGGCTGTGGCACTCCGTGTGATCTCCTTATCTTCCTGACCTCTAAACATTAGAATGTCTGGGGTGCTCAGTTCTAGGACCTCTTTTCTTCTCTGTATTCCTACTGTAGGTGATCTTTTTTAATCTCGTCTCTATATACCCTAGGGATTCCCTAGTGGCTCAGAATCCACCTAGAATGCAGGAGACCTGGGTTTGATCCCTGGCTTGAGAAGATCTCTTGGAGGAAGGACTGACTACCCTTTCCAGTATTTTTGACTGAAGAATCCCATGGACAGAGGAGCCTGGCAGGCTACAGTCCATGGGGTCAGAAAGAGTCAGACATGACTGAGCAACTAACACTTAAATACCCTACCTATGTTGATCAGATGTCTGATACTTCAGATTCAGATGTCTGATACTTAACTTTTTATATAAATGTCTAACATCTCAAATTTAAGATGTATAAAACCATCTTTTTATGCTACCCTTCATATCTATTTGTCAGTCTTCCCCTTCTTAATAAAATGGCAACTCAGTCCTTCCATTTGCTCAAGTCAAAACTTTGGAGTTATTTTTGATTTCTCAAGAAAAAGGTATTTCACATCTCACATGCAGTTCCATTTCTGTCAACTTTACCTCAGAAATACATTCATAATGTGACAACTCTCCACTACCAGAGCTATAGTCCTAGTCAGCTACAAGAGTTAACAGCAGTTCCCTACTGGTCGTCCAGCTTTTACCTGTCCTTCTATAGCCTGTCTTCAATAGGCAATCAAAATTATATTTTAAAAACAAATCACTAAATGCAGTGTGGTATCCTGGATTGTATCATGGAAGAGGAAAAATACATTTGGAAACACTGGTAATATCTGAATATAGTCTGCAATTTAAGTAATAATAATGTAGTGAGTGTTAATGTCTTATTTTTGACAAATTTAACATGGTTATATAAGAAGTTACTCAACCAGTTTCCTTTAATGTTGAATGAGAACTCTACTATTCTTGTAAATCTAAAATTGTTCCAAAATAAAAAAACTATTTTTAAAAATGAATATAAGCACAGAAAGCAAATGTAAAATGAGAGAAAATCAAAGCCAAAAAATGGTTGTTTGAAAAGCTTAGTCAGCTTTATAAACCCTTAAGAATATTAAATCATGCCACTATTCTGCTTAATATCCTGTGTGCCATCTCAGTGAAATTTGAGTCCTTAATTATGACTTCAAAGCCCTACAGATTCTGACCTCTCTGATGGCTTCGTACCGCTTTATTTAAGTGTGTGTATGTGTGTGTGTGTGTTTCTTTTTTAAACTGGGGTGGGGTTGCCATTTCCTCCTCCAGGGAATCTTTCCAATCCAGGGATCAAACCTGTGTTACCTGGAATACCCTAAATAGTGTTTTTTTAAAAAATATGTTTTATTTATTTGGCTGCACCAGATCTTAGTTGCGGCATATTGCATGTTTTTTAGTTGAGGCAGGCAGGATCTAGTTCCCTCGCAGGAAATGACCCTAGACCCCCTGCATCCCTGCGCTGGAGTGTGATGTCTTAGCTGCTGTACCACCAGAAAAGTCCCTTCTACCCCTTTTCTTCCTTTGTTCTAGTTGACATGCAGGTATGCTTCCCAATTGGGACCCTTGTACTTGTTCCTTCTTTTAATGCTCTTTCTCCAGATGCTTGGGTAGCTTACTCTTTCAGTTCCTCAGCGTCTGTGCTCTAATGTCTAATCAGAGAGCTCTTCACTGACCCTCTAATTGGAAATAGCAACTCTCTATCATATCTATTCCCCATATTTTGTATAGTTTTATTGAGATACAATTTATGGATCATAAAATTTATCCATTTAATGTGTACAATTCACTGATTATTTTGGCAAATGAATAGAGTTGTATAATTGTCATTACAGTGGAGTTTTAGAACATAAGTTTCCATGTACTACTTTCCACTCATTCTCCCATTCCCATCCTCAGCCCCAGACAACTACTAATCTGGTTCCTATCTCAATAGATTTGCCTTTAATGAAAATTTCCTGTAAATGGAATCATACCCTGTGTAATCCTTTATATCTGATTTCTTTTACATATCATAGTGTCTTTTTAAAATTGGAGGATAATTGCTTTATAATGTTGTGTTAGTTTCTGCTGTACAACAGTGTGAATCAGCTGAAAGTATACATATATCCTCTTCCTCACGAGCCTCCTGTCCCCTTCCATCCTGCCCATCTAGGTCATCACGGAGCGCCAAGCCAGACTTCCTGTGTTATACAGCAACTTCCCACTAGCTAACTGGTTTATACGTACCATACTGTCTTAAGCTTTGTTCGTGTCAAGCTTTGTGTAGTGTGTATCCATTGTTTTGTTTTATTTCTGAATCCTTCTGTTGTTTGGCTATACCATGTTTTATTTATCTAGTCACCCAGTAACTGACATTTTTAACTGTTTGTACTTTTTGCTTTTATTTTTTTAAACTGTTGATTTAATTTTTGGTTGCTTTGCCTGGGCTTTCTCCAGTTGTGGTGAGTGGGGGCTACTGTCTAGTTCTGGTGCTTGGGCTTCTCATTGCAGTGGCTTCTCTTGTTTTAGGGTACAGGATCTAGGCACAGGGGCTTCAGTAGCTGTGGCACACTGGCTTAGTTGCTCTGCGGCACATGGAATCTTCCCGGACCAGGAAGATGAACTCGTGTACCCTGCATTGGCAGGCAGATTCTTATCCACTGTACTCCCCGGGAAGTTCCTATTTGCAGTTTTTGATTATTGTGAATAATGCTGCTATGAAAATTCATGTGTAAGTCTGTGTAGATGTAGGTCTCAATTTTTCTTTAGGCAGGTTTATGGGAGAGATCAGGAAGTTGCAAAAGTTTTGATTCTTCCTGGTCTTAGTCTTCTAGGGATAAGACGTTAATTTATTTCACTAAAATGAAGCTAGATGTTTTGAGGTAAGGAATAATGGTTTAGCTTCATACTCTAAGGAAAATAGGAAATAGAGCTGACCAAGGGCTTGTAAAAGGAATGTTAAGTGGCATGCAGATGCCTGCTGAAATCTGAGATGATTGGATCCTTAGGGTTGTGAGCTATTCTGTAGATGTACATGCTGCCTGGTAGAAGTAGAGAAGTCTCTGAGCTCAGAGAATAGATTTAGTCAGAATGAGAGTGTGTAGGCTGGAAGCAAAGGAGACTGTGATCAGAATATGATACTGTTGTTAAGATTCTGATAGGGCACACAGTTTGGGGGTTGAAAATGTTGTGAATTTGCCACATGGACAGTTAACTGAGGCTTCTTTTAGGGTATAGGATAGAAAGTCAGATAAATGTCCAAAGCAAAAGTAAGGCAGATAGTAGAGGAAATAACCACATGCCAGTAGCAAGGCAGATCAGTCAGTCAGGGCCCAAGACAGGCAACAGAAACTATGGTAGATTTTTGAACAGGGAAGCTTAAAGAATTTTTAATTAGTAAAAGGTAGTTAATTACTGTAAGGGATAGAAGAGGGCTAAAACAGGAGTTGTGTATTAATGCCAAATCTGGCCAGTAACCCAGTTTTATAAATAAAGTTTTATTGGAACACAGCCATGCTCATTAATTTATATATTAGAAAGTGAAAGTGAAGTCGCTCAGTTGTGTCCCACTCCTTGCGACCCCATGGACTGTAGCCTACCAGGCTCCTCAGTCCATGGGATTTTCCAGGCAAGAATACTGGAGTGAGTTGCCATTTCCTTCTCAAGGAGATCTTCCCGACCCAGGGATTGAACCCATGTCTCCCATATTGTAGGCAGATGCTTTACCGTCTGAGCCACCAGGGCCTCAATTTATATATTAGCTATGTCTGTTTTCATGTTGAGTTGAATTGTGACAGACTATTTGGCCTACAAAACCTAAAACATTTGCTCTCAGATCTTAAAACAGTGCCAGCCTTGCTCTAAGAGGTCCAGAAGTAACAGGTGCCAGGTGCAAAGAAGCAGTCATCAAGTACAGGTTGAGGAACAGTGGATAGTGAAGGAACTCTGAGGATTTATGATAGAGCCTCTTCCCCAACCCCAGGCTGAAATTCAGCCTCTTTGAACTGGGTATGGCTGTGTTGCCTATGGCAAAGAAACTTGTTAGTGCTCTCAGATGGGAAGAGCGTGGCCTGAGGGTGCAGCTGGAGCTGATCTTTGAGGACCACTGGGCTTCCATTCTGAATATTAAAACAGAGGACTGGAACCCTGATGAATATATCTTCCTGCTGCTCTTGCCTTTGACTGTCCTTTCACTGCCCTCTAGTCACAGCACCTAACATTGTGCTTGCTGGCAAAGAGGATTGTTTATAAGGTCTAGTTCTAGAATTACAAGGTAGAGCAAAGGGTGGATTTGGAATTGGCACACAATAAGTTGATAACTGCCACATAAAAGTGATGGAGAATAGTATAGGAGAATGACATGAGCCTCAGAGGTTTTTGCATGAAAAGTGGAAGAATAAAAGAAAGCAGAAACACGAGTAAGCAAAAATGGAAGTCTTCAGGATCTGAGGACTGCAAGGTAATTAGGTGTTTGAGAAAATGAGGTGGTTTCATTTAAGCATGCACACAAAGAGAACATTTGGTGTAGCCAAACCTCAGAGGTGGAAAATTTTAAATTTTTAAGGGATTGTACCGTACTGAGTTTCAGTGCTTTCTAGCAGTACTTGGCATTTAAGTTTGGCATAAATATTTTATGAATTCATTATATAAAAATGTTTCTTAATGAGGTGTACTTTAAAACAATGATGGGGTAGTGGAGAAGAATTTTGAAATCATCCTCATCAGGTAAATTATTTTATAATGTATTTGTACATGTATAATAGTACATTTGATTCACGGTAAAATGGACTGTGGTTGAATAGTAAGGAAGGATTGTGCTCACAAGTGTTTTCATCAGATAAAGCTTAGAAAGTAAATGTTGTATAGATATAAATGTTGCTGAAAAGTTGACTCACTTTTAGTAACTGTTGCCCAGTGTATAATTGTATCAGGCAAAGTGAAAATTAACCAGGCCTGCTTTTTCCTACTTCAAAGTAAAGTATATAATTGGCACTTGCCTGACAGTTCAGTGGTTAAGAGTGCTTCCACTGCAGGGGTGTGAGATCCCTGGTTGGGGGCAGCGGGTGAAAAAGTAAATTATGTAATTGAAAAGCTATCTTGTTTTCTTTTTCATCATAAAAGCGTAAAGGATATCTATTCTTAGGCACATCTAAAATGTTTGCTTTTTCCCTCATCCCTGAAATTGATCCTTAAAATTCCACATACTTATGTTTATTTTACTTTTTATTTTTAAAGAATCAGCACAGAGCAGTAGATCAAGTAATTAAAGCTGTAAGAAAAATCTGTGGTGCTTTAGATGGTGTGGAGACTCTTGCCATTACAGAATCGGTAAAGAAGCTGAAGAGAGCAGTAAATCTTCCAAGGAGTAGAAGTGCTGAAGTGAGTATTTTTTAGTAGTTAGCATTTTATCACATGTAAATATGTACATAAGTGAGCATCTGTCATTTAAACTGGTAGATTTTTGCTTCTGCTAGACAAAATGTTACCATTTTAACTCCAGCTTTTACTTTTGAGCTGATTTGGTCACTTATTTGGTAAGGTGAGGGTATTTCTAAGAGGAGATGGACTGCCTTGAAGAACTTTGTGAGAGCTGACATTGAATAAATGGATATCCAGCTGAGCTTTTTGTGTATAGAGGAGAAACTCTGGCAAAAATGAGTTGGTCGAAGATTTTAAGGTAATACTGCCCTTGAAGGAGCTGGATATTAATAGCTAACATTTCTCCCTCTGGATGAAAATGTCCATGGTTGTCAGTGGGGAAGTTCTGCTTTGGAGTAAACCTCCTTCCTATTGGAAAGACCCAGAAGTCTCATCAATAGTGACTTAAATTGCCTCAGAAGCAACCAGATTAGGAGCCCCCACTTGATATCATACTGTTGCATTTAGTAAAAGTCCTCCCTGTGGTGTTTTTCACGGGGATTTAATTAACTGTTCATAGGGATGTTCATAGCTCTGATTGGAAGGATGAAAGAAGGATCACAAGACATGATACATTTAAAGAAAGGAAAAGTTATGTTGATGGTATGTTCTTCAACAAATATCTGGGAAATAGCTCAATCCATTTATTGTCTCAAAGACCCTATCCATATTGTATACAGAAATTTGAGTCGCTCATGTTTTGTTAGTTTGTTCTTTTTTTTTAATTTTTATTTTATTATTATTATTTTTTTTTAGTTTGTTCTTATTATGTGCTTGTTTTTTAGAAATTAAAAAACATCTGAAATCATTTGGAGGCAATAAAATGCCATGGTCCTAATGCTGTCTGAGGTTTCTATTCATTATATTCATTTGCTGGGTAAAGGAGCAGAGAGTAGGAGACAAACTCAGTTCAAATAATTATAAGAGCTTTTTTGAGACACTTAATGGTAATAAGTAAATTTCTAGTTTCTTTAAGGATATTCTTATGCTAATTGTAGAGCAAGTAATGGAAAATAAAATACTGTATTAATATATTTACCACATTTGAGTTTCAAATATTAATTACCAAAAAATGGTTTGATGAGGCAGATTTTGCTGAGTTTATTTTGCAGTACTTTTCAATTTTTGCATGATTTTCTTGATATTGAAATGTCTTTTTATTTGGTTTGGGACATTCACTTTCTTTTTGCATTCTTTTTTATTGTTTTATTAATTCTTCAGACACTTGGGAAGTTTCTCCTGTGAAGGATTTCTTTGATATGGAGTTTAATAAGTATTGAAATTAAAAGTAAACATTTTATATTCCATCATGGGTGATTTTCTGACTAATTTGTATGTGTGTAAGCAGGTGACTTCACTGTCTGGAGGAGGAGACACTAACAGGAGTTCAAGTAGGGGTATGTATTTAAGTTCCTTAAATTTTAGGAGTAATTGTTGCTTTTACAGAGAATTATATTAACAATTTCTTTAAATCTAGGCTCACTGAATCCTGAAAATCCTGTTCAAGTAAGCATGGACCAGTTAACTGCAGCAATTTATGATCTTCTCAGACTCCATGCAAATTCTGGTAGAGGTTCTGTAGATTGTGCCCAAAGTAAAAGGAACATTAAGGAAGCATGGACTACAACAGAACAGCTCCAATTTACAATTTTTGCTGCACATGGTATTTCAAGTAACTGGGTATCAAAGTAAGTAGCTATTTAGAAGAAGATATGTACAACTTTACCTGAAGGCTAATATAATCTTGTAAAACATCAGCATCCGCTGTTACCTTGGTCTTTAAATGGATACTTGATCCACCAAATACCTTTGTATTTTTCCTAAGAATTACAGAGATGTTTGAGGCTGTTAGTAAATATTACTCCTACTACATGAAGAAAAAGCAGGAAAATATGTTTAAACTAGCAAGGGAAAATGTTAATAAATTAGTTAATTTATGACTGCTGTTTCTGGCTTGCCTTTAGAACCAGGGTAGTCAGACTAGACTTTTTTAGCACATTTATTTTTCCTCTTTAGTAGTTTCTACAGTTTACTCTTGTTAGACTTTGACGTCTACAAGGGCATATTTCTTTCGTTGAATTTTTAATATGATCAGTCCTGAATATTCATTGGAAGGACTGATGTTGAAGCTAAAAAAAAAAATAAAAAAAAAAAAAAGAATTTTTAATATGGGTTTTTCTTTTTTGATTTTTTTTTTTTTGTCAATACCAAAAAGTTTGCCACCTTCGGCTTATCTGGAAATGACTAGTATAAACTGAAAAGTCCAAATTGCATATATTTAACGAAATAGTTTTTATAATAGTTTAATGCTATAAAATAAAGCCAAGTTGTTGCTGTTGTTCAGTTGCTAAGTCATGTCTGACTCTCTTCGACTGCATGGACTGCAGCATATTAGGCTTCCTTATCCTTCAGTATCTCCTGGAGTTTTCTCAGATTCATGTCCATTGAGTCAATGACACTATCTAACCATCTCATCCTCTGCTCTCCTCTCCTTTTGCCTTCAGTCTTCCCCAGCATCAGGGTTTTTTTCCAGTGAGTCAGCTCTTTGCATCAGGTGGCCAAAGTATTGGAGCTTCTGCTTCAACATCAGTCCTTCCAAGGAATGTTCAAGGTTAATTTCCTTTAGGATTGACTGGTTTGATCTCCTTGCTTGTCCAGGGGACCCTCAAGAGTCTTCTCTAGCACGACAATTCAAAGGCATCAGTTCTTCAGCACTCAGCCTTTATGGTCCAATTCTCACATCCATACATGACTACTACTGCTACTACTACCAGACTAGTTATGAGATATCAAATGTAAATTCTGCTTTAGAGCATAAACTGAACATTAGATTCTATATAATATAATGAGTTGAAAATGGTATATTAATTCATTCAATAAATATTTACTGAATACCAGCTGTGGGCAGTGTTCTTAGTACTACGGACTCAGCAGTTAAAAAGGTAGCAAAAAATCTTTGCCCTCTTGGAACTTGCATTTTGATGGGTACTATTGCTGTCTTAAGATATTTCATTCTTTTAAATAGTTACAGGGATAATATTATCCACATTCTTCATACAAAAACATGTATACACACAAATTTAGGGACTAATGAGAACAAATACTCAGCAGAAGACAATCCAGTGATAATTAAAATGGATTTTTTTCCCCCCTGTGCGGTACAGCTTTTGGGATCTCAGTTCCCAGATCAGGGATTGAACCTGGGCAGTTGTAATGAAAGCCCAGATTTGAAACTACTAGGCCACCAGGGAACTCCCAATACAATGCTGATTTTCAGAGAGGTTGAAAAAAGCAATCAAATAGCTATGTGAACCAGTGAGATTAGATTTTAAATATATTTTGAATGATAAACAGATTGTATGAACAAAATGGACAAACAAAATGTTTAATGGGTAAGCCTAGCAGTAAGTTAGAATACTAGTAGAATACAGTTTTATTGAACCTGAAACTCCCTACAAGATTGCCTGACTGTATATTACCCAGCTCTGTAATTGCGGCAGTTAGGGAGTAAATCATTGCTTTCCCATGAAAGATTACAGTAGCATCTGTCCCCATGGATGCTGCTGCTAAGTTGTGTCAGTCGTGTCCGACCCCATAGATGGCAACCCACCAGGCTCCTCCGTCCTTGGGATTCTCCAAGCAAGAATACTGGAGTGGGTTGCCATTTCCTTCTCCCCATGGATGGAACCCTCCATAGATCAGGAAGATCAGATCAGGCCCATGCACCATTAAATATGGTAAACTGACTCTACTTCAGTGGCTCACCAAAGGGAAATGGCACCTAGGGAACATAAATGTTTATACTGTTACTTCCTAGAATGAGTATACCTAGAAATGAAGAATTATTCAGTGTCATTTAACTAAAATTTAATGCTGGTAACTAACTGTATGCCAAATTGAGATAAATTCTCCAGTTGGTATCAATATAGCTCTTTTAGACTTGACGCCTAGGAATGTATATTCTCTTCTGTATTCCCTCTGCTCTGCCTGTATTTTTGTAGGATTTTCAATAGTTAAATTTTAGATGTTTTTCCAAAAATTCACTGATATAGTAACCAAATTATTTCAGATAATAGTCACTTAGGGAAGAATGGCTAATGATATTATATATATATATGGCTAGTTAACATTTCTGTTATCAAATAAAAATTAAATTAAACTCTTTTATTTTGTCAGTTATGAAAAATACTACTTGGTATGTTCCCTGACTTACAACGGAAAGGATCTTTTTAAACCTATTCAATCAAAGAAGGTTGGCACTTATAAGAATTTCTTCTATCTTATTAAATGGGATGAACTGTAAGTGAGACTTCTGGCTTTTTATTCTTTCAGTATGTCCTTTACCTTTTTCCATGTATGCTTCCAGCTTTCATTTTTAATTACAATTTCCATTAAAATTAATTAAATTCTTACTGATACCTTCGAGATTCTTCTAGATACAATTTTATAGCATGGACTGAAGGTCTCATTTAAAATATGAAATACTCCTGAATCTTCATATTGTTAAATTACAGAACCATGCCATCAATTCTTCCTAGCCTTTGTCAAGTTAAAGTCATGTGTAATTCTTGTGTTTTATAATATTGCTTTAGTTTAGTGTTCATTATGTAACAATGTATTTAGGAAGCCTAGTTCTTGGTTAACAGATTTGAAAAATTATCTTCAATCCATGTACAAGATGATATTTTGAACTGTTAATATTTTTAAAATATTATCTTTAAGGGAATGCTTTCATTATTTAGGCAAATAGGCAATTGCGAAACTTTATTCTGCATTTATTAAATAGTTTCCTATTTTTCTTTTTTTTTAATGACAAAAGTAGCACATGTTTGTGAAAACAGTCAAATAATATAAAAATGCATATAGGGTGAAAAATATCATTTTATTTCCAGCACTTAACCATCTCATGACTTCTCAGAGTGACCACTCTTGACTTCATGTGTCCTTTCAGATCTTATTTTAAAAAAAAGCTCCAGTAAACATATATGTCTGTCTGTGCATGTATGTGCACACAAACATCTAGAGTCAGAAACATTCATTTTGAACATTCATCTAGCTTTTCCTGAAAGAAATAAAGATGATGATTATCTTGCCTAAAAATTGACATTGCAAGTCTTCAATAAAAGGATTAACAAATTTTTGAAGAGAGAAATGTTGTATGTTTTAAATGTTAATGAAATTTATTTAAGATTTTTTAGTATTTGTTAGCCAAGCTTGCTACATACTTACATAAAGTTTACTCAGATTTAAAGATTATTTGAAGAGTCAAATAAAATACCTAAAATTGTCAGTTTCATTAAAGGGTTAAACTTCATATTCAATCTAATTTGTTTTTTCTATTAATACATTTCCCCCCCATAGAATCATTTTTCCCATCCAGATATCACAATTGCCGTTAGAATCACTTCTTCACCTTACTCTTTTTGGAATTTTAAATCAGAGCAGTGGAAGTTCCCCTGATTCTAATAAGCAGAGAAAAGGGCCAGAAGCTTTGGGCAAAGTTTCTTTACCTCTTTTTGACTTTAAACGGTAAGTGTTACTGAGTTGTAATGGTGAGTTACTGTGAACACCCCTGCAGTATCAGTATTGGCTAGAGAATGGAATGGGGAAAACTGACATTCGTGATGAGATAATGAATTGTCACATTTTCCCCAGTATGATTAAAAGAGGTCATTTCAGAGATACAGAGAAAACCAAAGTTGTTCTGATGTCATTTGAACATATCTATATGGGTTTTCAAAGGATTGTTTGCTGCTCACTGTTCCAGAAGAAAAGCAGCAGCCAATTCATTCTTTATTTTTTTTCAATTCATTCTTTAATTGTCATTTATGAAAAGCATTATATTATTGACATAATATTCATGGTCTTAGGCGTTCCTTTGATTAAAACAACGAAACTCCATTTTCCATCTTCTCATCCTTTGCCCATCCTCCTCCTGTTTGCGTGTACAACTACATATTATTCCCTTCTCTTTACCTGACTGATTTCCCCTTACTGTTATGGGCCCTGGGCCTTTAATCTTCAGAAGTCCCACATGTATGCAAAACTTGCTGATCCTTAGGGTAAAAGAAATTCCTTTTGAGCTTTGTGTCTACTAATAGCCTTTGGGATAGTATAATCTACTTGGCTTTTCAGCTGACTGTTTTGATTATGTTTTAAGTAATAATATGTTCCTTGAGACCATGAAGCATCTTCTTAAATGAAAAGAAAAATCATTGACTAAGTTTGGGATGCTTGATATAGAACATGATAACATTTTGGAGAGTAATAATGGACATTATCATATTGGAGTATCTAAGTTCTACAATCAAGCTACTGTGTTTAATAATAATATTACTGTAATAACAAACACATAGCATTTACTCTATGCAAGCTATTAGTCTGAATGCTGTATACATAGCCTTATATACCTCAGAACAACCCTATGAAGGTAGGTATTATTATCCCTTTTTACAGAGGGGGAAATCAAAGTGGTTTGCCCTTGGGCGCTTAGTTAATAAGTGGTAGAATTGAGTTTGAATCTAGGGAATCTGGCCTCAGGGTCTGCATTTTCAACATTAACGTATATTGCCATCCTCAGATTTATTTGATACCATGATACACTTTTGGATTTAAAATGCACCTTTGAAACCATTTTGGGAAATGATTTATTAATTGATCTATTTAACTTAGAAGAGCTGCTGGAAGATCCTCTGAAGAAGGGATATGCTACCCACTCCAGTTTTCTTCTGCTTCCCTTGTGGCTCAGTTGGTAAAGAGTCTGCCTGTAGTGCGGGAGGGAGACCTGGGTTCGATCCCTGGCTTGGGAAGATCCTCTGGAGAAGGGAAAGGCTACCCACTCCAGTATTCTGGCCTGGAGAATTCCATGGACTGTATAGTCCATGGGGTCAGAGAGTCGGACACGACTGAGTGACTTTCATTTTAACCCACAATAAAACGATTAAAAAATAAAAAATAAGAATGAAAAATTCTGCTAATCTAGTTCTGCTTCTTTTTTCCTCTTAAGTGACATAGTTTGACTTTTCAGTAATCACTTTTAAAATCACATGGTGTTTGAAACACTGACTTCATAAGTTTTGTTTTTTAAATATTCTTTTCCCATATACTTAAATATAGCATTTTTTCATATATATTTTTTCTTTTGTCTCTTCCCCTATTTTTGAGAAGGCCATATAAGATTTTTTAATTATATACCTTTCGTTGGGCTCCAGTTTTATTTGACACCTGACATAATTCTGAGCTGACAGACACTAGAGAAGAGCGGTTAAAGAGATTGCTATGAATGACACATGTTTAGAGTTCCTTGCTAAATATAGTCCATAACTGCTCGAACAGAATATTGGCCACATAAAGGAGGGGGGTTGTGTTCTCAACTGTCTTTGATAAACTAGTGTCAGGTAATAGTTAATGTGAGAAATTAAATGGATTGTCTCTATCAGTTTTTATAAGTGAGTCAGTTTTGAAAAACTTTGTGCTCTTGAAAGCAACAAGAATCTGCTTCATTCAAGGAGTACTGTCACTTTTTGCCATTTTATTTGCTTATTAATAAGTGTTTTTATTGAATTAACCACCTTCTTTCAAGATTCAAAAGAGTAAAGGGAAGGGCAGTTGACTTTTGTTAGACAATTAAATAGTTTGCATGTATCCAGTGCTCAGCTGTTTAAAAGAATGAACTGATGCCGTTAAGCTTGAGAGTTTGCCAAGCAGTGTAGTCAATCTAGATAATGTTAGGATTTAACATTCAAAAAATGCTCAGAAATTAAGAGGGAAGATGACTTTATATATATACATAGAGAGAAACTGTGCTAATGATTTAGTTGTGCTAGTGTGCTGTAGTATAATGATCAGAAATCCTGGTCTTGAAATTCTTTTAAAATTAATTATGTTTAAGCTACAACCTGCATACAGCCCGATGAAGTTATTATCATAAGAGTCAAATGATTTACAGGCATTTCAGTCAACCTCAGCAACAAATGAGTTCTTAACTTATTTTTAAATAAATGGAATCAAGCGTTTAACCTGCTGTTCCTTTATAGTTGAATCTCAGGATTACCAAATAATTGATGTGATAAAGTTCTTTGTAGAAAAATTTCAGCTAATGGATGCAGAAAGAATGACAGAATGTCAGAATTTTGCAACTTCTGTTGTTATTCAGTTGCTCAGTTGTGTTCGACTCTCTGCGACCCTCTGGACTACATCAAGCCAGGATTCCCTGTCCGTCACCGTCTCCTGGAGCTTGCTCAAACTCATGTCCACTGAGTTGGTGATGCCATCTAACCATCTCATACTCTGTCGTCTCCTTCTCCTCCTGCCGTCAGTCTTTGTCAGCATCAGGGTCTCTTCTAATGAGTTGGCTCTTTGCATCAGGTGGTCCAGAAGTATTAGAGCTTCAGCTTCAGAATTGGTCCTTCCAGTTAATATTCAGGGTTGATTTCCTTGCAGTCCAAGGGACTCTCAAGAGTCTTCTCCAGCACCACAGTTCGAAGGCATCAATTCTTCGGTGCTCAGCCTTTATGGCCCAGCTCTCACATCCATACATGACTACTGGAAAAACCATAGCTTTGACTAGATGGACTTTTGCCGGCAAAGTAATATCTCTGCTTTTTAGTACACTGTTTAGGTTTGTTATAGGTTTTCTTCCAAGGAGCAAGTGTCTTTTAGTTTCATGGCTGCAGTCACCATCTGCAGTGATTCTGGAGCCCAAGAAAATAGTCTGTCACTGTTTGCATTGTTTCCCCATCTTCTTGCCATGAAATGATGGGAGTGGATGCCATGATCTTAGTTTTTGAATGTTGAGTTTTAAGCCAGCTTTTTCACTCTCCTCTTTCACCTTCATCAAGAGGCTCTTCAGTTCCTCTTCGCTTTCTGCCATTAGGGTGGTATCATCTGCATATCTGAGGTTGCATTCCCTACTGAAATAATAGATTTAGGCCAGGAAATCTCAGTCTTGGCACTGTTGACATTTTGAGCCAGGTGATTCTTTGCTGTGGGAGACTGTCCTTTACATCGTAGGATGTTTGGCAGCACCTTCGGCTTCTGCCCACTAAATGCCAGTTGGTACTCCCTAGTTGCCAACCAGAAAGTCTGCAGACATTGCCAGATATCCAGGGGAGTCAAAGGCATTCTTGGTTGACATTGATTTAAGTGATGCTTTATTAATGCCTGTTTAGAAACCATTGTGATTAACTTTTCTGGAACTTTATAATAAATGGTTTAGACTGATAGCACTTGAACAAATTAATTCTTAACATCACAGAAGGAGAGATACACCAAACAATGTGTGCTTTATTTGATGCATCAGGAACTAGTAGTAACAATTCCAGCTGTAAAAAATGACGTATTCTTGAAGAAGTGAAGTGAAGTGAAGTCACTTAGTTGTGTCTGACTCTTTGCGAACCCATGGGCTGAAGCCCACCAGGCTCCTCTGTCCATGGGATTCTCCAGGCAAGAATATTGGAGTGGGTTGCCATTTTCTTCTCCAGGGGATTTTCCCGACCCAGGGATCGAACCCAGGTCTCCTGCATTGAAGGCAGACTCTTTAACCTCTGAGCCACCAGGGAAGCCCAAGACGTATTCTTGCCACATCACTAACCTTGAATCAGCTCAGTCCTTTGGATCTAAATATTACAGAAAACATAGGAGATAAAGGGACATGCTAAAATGATACCAGAGGAATGCGGTCAGTAAAATCCAGGATACAGAAAAGTTTTCACAACAAAAGACTTGGATTATTCAACAAGTAACAGGGGATAAAAAAGAATAATGTATAGGTTAAAACAAGAGTTGGTAAACTTTCTGTAAAGAGAACTAGACAGAAGTCGTTGAGACTTTGTAGGTCATGTAGTCTCTGTCGCAACGACAAAAGCAGTGATAGGCAACATGTAAATGAATGAATGTGGCTTTGTTTTAATGAAAGTTTTCTTAGAAAAGCAGGCGACAGTCCAGTTTGACCTTTGACTTAAAAGATACTTAAAAAGACATCACCCAACACACATATTAGACCTGCTTGCATCCTAATTCAAACCAGCTATTAAAAATAATTTTTAGAGCCAGAGAAATTTGAATGCTGATTGTATAGCCAATACCTTTTTTAAATGTATTATTAGTAATTTGGCTGTAGTGGGTCTTGGTTGCTGTGCACAGGGTTTCTCTAGTTGTGGTGAGCAGGAGCTACTCTTGGGGTGCGCGGGCTTCTCATAGCAGTGCCTTCTGTTGCAAAGCACAGGCTCTAGATGCCCCACAGCATGTATAATCTTCCCAGAATAGGGATCAAACCCCTGTCCCTGCCTGGGCAGGCGGATTCTTAACCATTAGACCACCAGGGAAGTCCCTAGCTGATAACTTACAAGTAGTTATTTTTAATTATTTTGTTGTAATTATGTTTAAATAACAGTATTTATCATTTAGAGACTCATAAAAGTATATACAAATAAAATGATATGATCAGAATTTGCCGTCAGATAATCTAGCTGAGGGTGAGGGCGGCTCTAGAATAGATAGAATATAACGTGTGAAGATCTTTTTTTTGGCCACCCCACGTAGTTTGCAGGGTCTTGGTTCCCACACCAGGGCTCGAACCTGGGTCCCCTGCAGGGGAAGCACAGTCTACTAGCTGCCAGGGAATTCCTGTGCCAAAAATTTAAAAACCGTTAACCTGCTAGAGAAAACATAAACTGGAGTCTAGTTTTGGAAAGGATATTTATTATTTGAATGAAATGAACAAAGTTTGATGAAGTTTAGTTTCCTACTTTTATATATTGTTATTTTTCAGAAATTTCATCTGTGGAAAGATATATCAGTATTTTTATTGGTAAATGTTTCTAATCTCAGTAGATTATAAATTGGTAGTTTAGGGCAAGGGTCAGCGTACTCCAGCTCACTGCCTGTTTTTTGTTTTGTTAGAACACAGCACACAGTTTTAAAATGTATTATTCATGGCTTCTTTTGGCTCTGTAATAGCAGAGTTGAGTCTGACAGATTGTATAGCCCAGAAGACCCCAAATATTTGCTGTCTGGCCCTTTATAGAAAAAGGTTGCTGACTCCTGGTCACAAACAGGTTAAACTTCTCACCTTGAACAATCAGTACTTTGACACAAAGTAGATACTGGTTTCTTTGACATGTGTTTTTATTCTTATGGTAGAATTCAAGGAGCAGTTATGAAATCCAAACCACCACCTTAAGATATGTTTCTCTGTAGATGATGTTCAAACACTGTCTTATTTATAGAAGTTGTTTTGGGGACAGGTGACTCTGAGACTTTACCCATCTTTTCTTCTGTCCTGAGCCCCATTTCATCTTCCCTTCTTTTGTTCTAACTTCCATACTTCAGTACATTTACCTAAAGTGAAAATACACTATAGAGAGTGACTCCTTCTAATATGTTCTTTCTATATATAGGATGCTTAATAAATATTTGATTAGTAACATTTCAAATTCATTACCATGTGTTGTGAGTTTTTAATTAATTTTTAAAATGAAAACCACAGTATTCTTCTGTTTACATTCATGAAGGTTTTTAACATGTGGAACTAAGCTTCTGTATCTTTGGACTTCATCACATACAAATCTTATTCCTGGAACAGTCCCCAGAAAAGGATATGTGATGGAAAGAATAGTGTTACAGGTAATGATACTTCCTGACACATGGAGAGGTTTAAGTTTGAATTTCTTTATAAAGAATATATGTATACCATGGTCTCAGTTCTTACTAAAGAAGCCTAATTGATCTTGTTTAGATCTTAGGATCTGTATTTAAATGTTAATAAGCCATTTCCTATTTCTGAGAAATAGTGAAAGATGCACTTATACCAGTCCCACGAATATATGTGCTATTGAGAAGTACTAATAACGGTAATCACTCTTAATAAAAGGACAGAAGCATTAATTTAACATTTGATATTTTCACCCTTAAGGCTAGGACAAATCAAAAATAAGTAAATGTAGCAAATATGTGGGCTTTTCAGCTGTAATTTGATCAATTTCTATTTTTAAGGTTGATTTTCCTTCTCCTACATTTGATATCATTTATACCGCTCCTCAAGTGGACAGAAGCATTATACAACAACACAACTTAGAAACATTGGAGAATGATGTGAAAGGGAGACTTCTTGATATTCTTCACAGAGACTCATCACTTGGGTATGCTCCTTTAATTCTCTTGCCTGATTATCTCTTACAATGTAAAGTTCAAGTTAATGGTTTATTAAGTGTCCTGATTTAGTTCATGATTTAGCAATGTTCCTGATATGGAAAGTTTTCTCTTTCTGTTTTTAGTTGTATAAAAAGACTGTATAACTGCATAAAATTTAGAAATTTGTGTAAGTCAAACTTTCTGCATAATCAAGTGCAAATAACAGACTGGGGACTATAATCTGTTTCCTTAATATATGAAGAATTTTTTTATGTAAGTAGAAAAACTGACAACACAGTGATAGACAAAGAATATGAATAGGTTTTTCTTTGGAAAAGAAATACAACCCTTTTAAACGTATGAAAAAAATGTTCAGCCTCTCAGTAATCAAAGAGTCTTAAATTAATACAAGATACCATTTCACACACCAGACTGTTGAAAATTAAAATGTCTCATTGTATGAAGTATTGATAGAATACAGAAAAATAGGAATTACACTGTGGGAAGAACTCTAAAAGCTTTGGGAGAGCAATTTGGCAGTCTGTTAAGGTCACAGTGTCCATAATCTGTGACCTAACAATTCCACTTCCAGTAATAGTATTATTTTAAAGAAAACCCTTTTATATTTGCTTGTGGAGACAAGAATATTCCTTGCAGTATTTATTTGGGTTGTTATAAAATGGATATACATGTTCATTAATGGGTTAAATTATGGTACATTTATCTAACATCACTATGTAACTATTAAGAATGAAGTTATGGCTATTATTAATATATAAGATATTAAATGAAGAAAGCAAGTACGATAGTATGTATAGTGTGTTCAGGTCACTTCAGTCACTCAGTTGTGTCCAACTCTTTGCGACCCCATGGACTGCAGCACGCCAGGCCTCCCTGTCCATCACCAGCTCCTGGAGTTTACCCAAGCTTATGTCCATTGAGTCAATGATGCCATCCAACTACCTCATTCTCTGTCGTCCCCTTCTCCTCCTGCCTTCAATCTTTCCCAGCATCAGGGTCTTTTTCAGTGAGTCAATTCTTTGCATCAGGTGGCCAAAGTATTGGAGTTTCAGCTTCAACATCAGTCCTTCCAATGAACACCCAGGACTGATTACCTTTAGGATGGACTGGTTGGATCTCCTTGCAGTCCAAGGTACTCTCAAGAGTCTATTCCAACACCACAGTTCAAAAGCATCAATTCTTCGGCGCTTAGCTTTCTTTGTAGTCCAACTCTCACATCCATACACGACTATTGGAAAAACCATAGCTTTGACTAGACTGACCTTTGTTGGAAAAGTAATGTCTCTGCTTTTTAATATGCTATCTAGGTTGGTCATAACTTTCCTTCCAAGGAGTAAGTGTCTTTTAATTTCATGTTACCATTAACATAAAGGAAAGAAAGAGAATTTGATATATACACCTTTGTATATGCTTCTATAAAAATAGACTAACTCTGAAAAAAAAAATAGACTAACTCTGGAAGAATATACTAGGTGAGGCAGTTGCCACTGGGAAAGGAATGGAAGGAGAGAAACCTAATTGTGTGCCTTTTTGCAGTATTTTATTTTTTTCTTCACATTCCACATGAAATGAATACATTTCAATTCCCTGCATGGATTATAAACACAAAGGTAGATAGATGGGTAGAGAAATAGTGAAATATTTCATTCAAAATAAGCATTTGTCATTAAGAGTGAATTTGAATCTCCAAAACAAGTTTTTATTTTTAATATTCCTCAAGTGAGCTCTATGCTGCTGCTGCTGCTAAGTCGCTTCAGTCGTGTCTGACTCTGTGCGACCCCATAGACGGCAGCCCACCAGGCTCCCCCATCCCAGGGATTCTCCAGGCTTTATATTCATCATCTAAAATTTTGTAGTAGTATTTGACTTTGACATGACTTTTGATTTTACTTGTATAAAATGATGAAATCCTTGCTGTCTCTTAGAGTAGGTTCTCCTTATTCAACTCTTAATTTCTAGTGCCTTGCATCTGGTTAGAGCTCAATAAATTTTATTATCCAAATTATCCTTCAGTTTCTTAACTAAGACTCTTCCCCCAAAGCAGAATGATTTCTTTCTGTGCCCCAAATTAGTGGTGTTTGATGTACATTGCGTTTTTCTATCCCAAGTTAGTATTAATGATTCTACCAAGAAGTGGCTATCCTAAAAGGAATGAATTTCTCCTTTGTATTTTTAATCATTGAGATTATCTGTCATTATGGTATCACTGAGAAGTAATTTAACTGTATTATGTATTTAGACTCTCTAAAGAAGATAAAACCTTTTTGTGGGAGAAACGTTATTATTGCCTTAAACACCCGAATTGTCTTCCTAAAGTACTTGCAAGTGCCCCAAACTGGAAATGGGTTAATCTTGCCAAAACTTATTCATTGCTTCAGCAGTGGCCTCCATTGCATCCACTGACTGCCTTGGAGCTTCTTGATTTGAAGTAAGTTAACTGTGGTTGAATTTATTTGTTCTGTTTTATTATTGTCAATTTTTCTGGCAAGATATTATTTACAGGATTAGTTCCCTTTGGTTTAATGTGAAAGCGGTGTAATATAAATGTGTAAATGCATATTTCTGTAAACACATCTTTTGTGTTGAGGTTATTAAAAAGGGATGTCATATCACTGAAAACTAATCTAGAGAGGTTGTAAATTTTGAATAATTTGTTTTATTTTTATGATATAGGTCAGAATTTATTTTCGTGATCTTAAAGGTTTCTCAATAGTTGCAAAATTGGATGTGTGTATAGGACAATATGATTTTTTCCTAAGAAAAAAGATGAAATACATTGCTTTTCAATAGCTATCTGAGCATTCTTTGTCAGGAATAAATTGAGATTGTGTCTTCAGGAAAAACAGGTTCTTTAGAAATCACTGTCAAATCTTAATTTTGTGGTATGCTTCTAGATTTGCTGATCAGGAAGTGAGGTCCCTAGCTGTGACCTGGATTGAGGCTATTAGTGATGATGAGCTAACAGATCTTCTTCCACAGTTTGTGCAGGTGAGTTTTTTACTAGGTTATCTACCCTTCTTATGCTCAATCCAGTTTTTATGAGTAGGGAAGGATCTTGCTAAGGGATCTCCTTTCTGTTTTGATTAAAAGTATTGAATACTTTTGTTCAGTGGGAATGTTAAAGTGCATTGCGTTTGAATTTAGTGTGAAATTTTTTCTACTATTGTCAGCTGCCTTGCTTGAATACCATATATATATGTACCTAGAATTTTAATTATCAGAATAAACCAGACTTGAGGTTTTCTTTCTTTTTTTTTTTAATTGGCCACGTAAACATAGCTAATGAATGTTATTCCCAAGTCTGTGTACTTTTCTGCTTGATTCCATTAATTTCACCTAAATTAATTAATCTGTTTCATTTTTATCAGTATCATCTTTTCTCAACAAGAGTAACCCTTGATTTATATAGTTTATATTTTGATAATTTTATCCCAACAATGTAGTATGGGTTTGACAACTACTGATTCTTATTTTTCTTTGCATGTAGGCTTTGAAATATGAAATTTACTTGAATAATTCATTAGTGCACTTCCTTCTGTCCAGAGCATTGGGAAATATACAGATAGCACACCATTTATATTGGTACGGTTTAAATTTTCTTAAGTACTTTATTTCTGTTCCTATTATTTGTACAAATGACACTCAAAGTCTAAACAGTATGCTCAGACTATTTGCTGTTGATACCAGATGTTTTATTGAAGTGACTATTGTAAAGAAGCTAAGTTTTATATCTTTAGAAATAAAACCAGAAGTAACATACCCCTCTATTGCAGAATTACTCGGCATGTTAGAGCTCTCTAATATTGAAAGAGTTTTTCTTGCTTGTATAGCTTAAAATAATTCCTAGATACCACAAATTAAACTTTTTTAAAATTGAGTTTTGAGGGACATTAGTCTAGTTCTTAGAAGTTACTGACATAAATATTTTGCTGTATTAGGCTCCTCAAGGATGCTCTGCATGATGCACAGTTTGGTGCCCGATATGAACATGTTTTAGGTGCTCTCCTCTCAGTAGGAGGAAAAGGACTCAGAGAAGAACTTTTGAAGCAGACAAAGCTTGTACAGCTTTTAGGAGGAGTAGCAGAAAAAGTAAGACAGGCTAGTGGATCAGCCAGACAGGTATGTACCCACAGAGGGAACATAAATGTTTTGATGTTAAAGAATCTTTGCAGTGCTGACAAGTTAAGCTTTTATTCTTTTTCAGTAGACATCCGATAGAACTCACCTATGCTGTCTTAAGCAGACTGAATTCAAAGGTTGCTTAAAATCTATTGGAAAAGATTTTATATCCTAACTCATTTCCCTTTCATTTCCATGATTATTAATTTCTTTCTGATCAAAATTGTTCTCTTGAGTTTCCTTCTCATTGTTTTGCTTTTTAACTTTTTTGTGATTATAAAAGTTATAAAAGTATGAATTGATGCTACTGTTTAAGAAGCTCAAATGAATAAGCTTATAAGCTTACAGAGTAAAAAATTAGGACGTTTACAGTTTCGGTTTTTCCCTGTGGGTATCTTCTTCATATTTTATGTCCTGCTTGGTCATTTTATATGGCTTTTCACATATATACACTTAAGTATATATACAAATTTTTGGAGTTAAAAAATTTTAATTATAGAAACATATACATATATGTATATTTTAGCTAAAATTCACTATTTTAACCAAAGTGTACAGTTCATTGACTGTAAGTACATTTACAGTATATTGCAGTTACCACCACTATCTATTCCAGAATATTTTCATCACAACAGAAAGCAAGCCTATGTATACCCACTAACCCCTCACTCCTTATTCCCCTGTCCTCCCAGGTCTGGCTAAGAACTAATAATGCTTTCTATCTCTATGAATTTACCTATTCTGGACATTTCATATAAATGTAATCATGCAACATGTGGCCTTTTGTGTCTAATTTCTTAGTCTAATGTTTTAAAGATCCATATATATTCTAGCATGTGTATTTAATAGTGTTCCATTGTGTAAATAATAGCACATTTTCTTTATCCATTCATCTATTGATGGACATCAAGCTTGTTTCTATTATGTGACTGTTACTGAATAGTGCTGCTGTGAATATTTGTGTGTAAGTTTTTTGTTTGAACATCTGTTTTCACTTTGCCTAGGAGTAGAATTACTGTATCGTATAGTAATTCTATGTTTTTTGAGGAACCACTGAACTGTTTCCTAAAGTAACTTCACCATTTTATAATTCTGGTATAATACTAGTAAGGTATAAGGATTCAGTGGTAAAGAATCCGTCTGCTAAAGTAGGTGATTCAGGATACATATGGATTCAGTCCCTGGGTCAGGAAAATCCCCTGAGAAGGGAATGGCTGCTTACTTCAGTATTCTCCCCTGGAAAACCCCGTGGACAGAAGAGCCTGGCAGGCTACAGTCCATGGCTTCCCAAAGAGTCGAACATGACTTAGTGACTGAATAACCAAAAAAAAAACAAATGAGGGTTTCATTTTCTCCATATCCTCACCAAAATTTATTTTTAGTTTTTTTAAACTATAGTCATCCTAGTGGGTGTGAAGTGGCATCTCATGGTGGTTTTGATTTGCATTTCCATAATGTCTAATGATTTGGAGCTTATTTTCATGTGTTTGTTGGCCATTTGTATATCTTCTTTGGAGAAATTTCTAAGTCCTTTTTAATTGGTTTGTCTTTTTGTTGTTGAATTGTTAGAGTTCTTTGTGTATTCTGGACACTATCAGATATACTGTTTGTAAATATTTTCTCCCATTTTGTGTATTTGTACTTCTTTCATAATGTTCTTTGATGCACAGAAGATTTTAATTTTATGAAGTCGAACTTTTTTTTTCTTTTGTTGCTTGTTCTTTTACTATCCTATCTAAGAATTCATTGTCAAAACCAAGGTCACAATGATGTACACTTATGTTTTCTAGGAGTTTTATAGGTTCACTTTTAAAAAGTCTTTGATCCATTTTGAGGCTATTTTTGTTGTTTGTTGCTTTGTTCTATGAGCCGAGAGTCCAACTTCATTCTTTTACATGTGGTTATCCAGATGTTGCTGCACCATTTGCTAAAGGAACTGTTCTTTCCTATTGAATAAACTCAGCACCCTAGTTGAGAATCAGTTGACCATAGTTGTATGGGTTTATTTCTGGACTCTCAGTTCTGTTCCATTGATCTATACGTCTGTCTTCACACTATACTTTTTTCATTGCATAGCTTTGTAGCAGGTTTTGAAATCAGAAAGTGTGAGTCCTCCAACTTTTTCTTTTTCAAGGTTGTTTGGCTGTTTGGAAGTCCCTTATAATACTATACGAATTTTAGTATCAGCCTTCCCATCTCTGCAAAAAGAGCAGTTGGAGTTTTGATAAAGATTGTGTTGAATTTGTAGATCAATATTTGGGAAATATCACAATCTTAGTAATAAGTCTTCTAGTTCATGAACATAGGATATCTTTGATCTTTCATTTTTTTTAGCAATGATATTTTTTTAATTTGTAAGTTGCTGCTTTTTTTTTTTTGACTTGGAGAATTCATGTCAGTACATTTAACTATACTTTTTGTTTCTTAATGAGAACATAGTATTACAAGGTATGGTAGCATAAATTATGAACCATTACATCTGTGCAGGTTGTTTATACATTTTTTTTTCCTGAACAGTTCTGTGATGAACTTGAATGTGTAACTGTTTGCCCCTTTGCTAGTATTCCTTTAGAGGATAATCGTACAGATGAAATAATCCAGTCAAGAGCTATATACATTTTAGTTATAATAGTTTATATTAAATTGCAATATCAAAAACAAAACCAATGAAGACCCCACTCCCCACCAATAGATTATGAAAGTATCTATTTCCGACCCTGTTGCCAACACTGGATGTTATCTTAAATTTTTCATCTGTTAGATAAAAATTGGCATCTCATTATTATTTAATTTCTATTTGTTTATTTGACTGTTAGTATTAACAAATATGTTAAATATGAGCATATGTACTTCCCCCTTATGGTTATAGTCTTTGCTGTAAATTTTATTTTTGTAATAAAATTAACTTTCTTTCACAACAGCTGTGTTTGACCACATGACAATTGGTCATTTAAAAAATTGGGTCAAAACAAAAAAAAAATCTGGTCCACATCATGTCTTTGTTACCTGAAAAATAAGTGTTCATTTTCATTCTGTAAAAATATCAATTTCTTTTCCTAGGTTGTCCTCCAAAGGAGTATGGAACGAGTACAGTCCTTTTTTCTAAGAAGTAAATGCCGTCTTCCTCTCAATCCAAGTCTTGTAGCAAAAGAATTAAATATTAAGGTGACATAAAATACTTTAGTTCATATAACATTTTCAAATATTGTGTAATAAAAAGGCAGGTGGGGCAGGTATGCTTAAAAGGCAAATGCAGATAAAGTGCTTAAGTTGGTTATAAGTACTTCTGGTTGTGTTTATGTAAGATCTGTTTTTATCTCAGTATATGCTTATCTAATTACCATTCCTGAACAAAAAAGCAGAGTGAAATTATTTATTGAATTGAAATAAATTATTTTTTGCTATGATATAATAGTTGCATACGTTATAATTCCAATGGTAAAACTCCCCAGTCACAGGTAGGCAGTTTTTTAACCTTGTGAATGGACACGTGTACTCTTCAGAGGTTTATAACACTTTTTAGAGTCATTAAGAAGTAGTCATTATCATCAAAATTGAGTAATTGTATTTTTAATTGGGCTAATAATAATACAAATAGTGGATTTTTCTCTCACATGCATTCAGCAAAAGCAACCAGTTAGTTCATCCATTAGAGTCTGTTATTTTGAAAGGAGGCTCAGATTGAATTTTTTTTAAGTTGACATATGGCTGCTTTTCATTGGACTGTAACAGTGGGTGACTGGGTTGTATAATTATGTCACTGAAGGTGGGGGTAGCAGGGATTACATTTTCCCTTGGGATTTTGTTCCTTGTTTCCTTTAAATTACTCTCACAGTCTTAAATTAGTTTTTTAACCAGTTTAATTTTAAATTTGATGTCTGCTAATGAATTTGTTCAGTTTAGTGTCACCCTTTGATTCCATGGCTAATTATTAATTTTACTAGTGCTGTGAAACGAAGTGGAGATCTTATTCCAAATCACACTGATTTAGAGAAAAGATAAGCATATGCAAAATTTTGTGCTTTAAGTTTTTGTTTCAGTGTTATCATTTTAATCATTTTAATGCTTAACATACTGTATTTGTAGTCATGTTCCTTCTTCAGTTCTAATGCTGTGCCCTTGAAAGTCACAATGGTGAATGCTGATCCAATGGGGGAAGAAATTAATGTCATGTTTAAGGTGAGCAGAATAATTGTTTGTTTGTAATTTAAAAATTCTTTTCTCAAATTCCTTTTTCAGAATTGCAAAAGCAATTTTATTTAGTGTTTAATGGAATTGAATACCTGTGAAAAATTATTACTGCTATAAACTGTTTCCAAATGGATTTGGAAACAAGTGCAACTCTGGGCTAGAGCTGCTCCATATGGCCATCTTATGCTAGTTAAGTACATCACAGCTCCACATAGTGCCTTTCACCCAGACTATGATGTAAATGGTACACCTTAGAGATGTGCAGAGTAAAATTGCAAAACTGTGAACTGGCACTGTTTTTGAAAACATGTAACTTACCTGTAACTTACCTGTGGGAATCTGTTAGCAATCAGAGCTTCCAGATGCATGGTAAAGGGGCAGGCAGTAGTAAAGAATCTTGCTGCCAGTGCAGGAGACTTAAGAGACATGGTTCGATCCCTGGGTCAGGATGATCCCCTGGAGAAGGAAATGGCAACCCACTCAGTATTCTTGCCTGGAAAATTCAATGGACAGAGGAGTCTGGCAGGCTACCGTCCATTGGATCACAAGGAGTCGGACATGACTGAGCATGCACACACATGCATTAACAATCAAAGTTTTCTTTGTTGCAATCACAGTATTATTTTTAGGAAAGAATGTAGAGATTTAGTTAATTCAATGAGTTTGATTAGTCAGCCACCTTTGATATATAAGTAAGTTCCCATATTCTCAGATCTGGTTTTAGACTCCATTTTATTTTACTGATGCCTTTGCCTTTTCCTAAAACAGTCTCATCTTTTTGAATACAGTAATTTTGTGTGTTGTAATTTTTTTAAGGCAAATCACCTTTTTTTTTTCCGTAATTTTCTTGGCTCATCTCAAAAATGTATTTATCATTATGTGTTTTAAACTTATTTTATCCAATTTAAGAAGAAAATGAAAACTTGATATAATTCCAGTTGGAATTCATTTTTGGAGAGCTAACTTTTTTTTAAAGTAAACTGATTATTGTAGATTCATAGTTCACTTTAAGAAATTACACAGAAATCCTGCGTACCCTCTACACAATGATATTATCTTGTACAATATTGCAGTTAGGATGTTGACATCAATACAGTCAAGATATAAAATATTTTGATCATCAAAAAGATCCCCCATATTGCCCCTTTAAAAAATTGAATATAATACTCATACTGTAAAACCCAGTCTTTTAAAGTGTACAGATCAGGAAATTGAGACGTAAAGAAGTTAAGTAACTTTCTCTGGGCTGCTGCAGAAGAATAAAAAGGTGGTTCAGTTCATTTTATTCTTTACTCTTTTCTCCCCACTCCTCCCCCCTTTTTTATATGTAATCTATTAAGGCTTTTGGAAATGTACAAGTTTCATTTTGTTTCTTTGATTTCAAGGTTGGTGAAGATCTAAGGCAAGATATGTTAGCTTTACAAATGATAAAGATTATGGACAAGATCTGGCTTAAAGAAGGACTAGATCTGAGGATGGTAATTTTCAAATGTGTCTCAACTGGCAGAGATCGAGGTAAATCTGTTAGATGTAGTCTTTTTTTTTTTTTCCCCTTGGATAATGCTCAGAGGGTACATGCTCTAATGGTTCTGATGCTGGTCCGTGATCTCAACCATATCACTTTGCTTTGTCAGGTTAGAATGTACAGACTTTATCTTCTCAAAAGGAAATCAGGTCAGAGACTTCCCCCATGGCCCAGTGGTTAAGACTGCCTTTCTTCTACAGGGGGCACAGGTTCAATTCCTGGTCATAATAGTTCCTCAAAAAAGGGGCAGTCAAGTCAATTTAAGAATTCTTGGGGGGGACGTAAAAAAAAAAAAGAATTCTTGCTGATATTCTACAGTAACTCAATGAGTAGCTCAATTGCTTGCCAGACAGTACGTCTTATAAAATGGAAGTCACTTTATCAAGAGAGATTCCTCAACAAGAGCCTGGCATTTGCTTGGATTAGTTTTTCTGTCACCATACTTATTTCATATAGTTGAACTCTTCTCTCATGGAATTCTGTGTAATTTTGTAGGCAATCAACTTCCTTCTTTTTACGTTGTTTCTAACTGATGGTTGAGTGCTTACTTTGTGCCTTGCCTTGTGCTAAAGCTTTTCATTTGTGTTATCTTTCTGTGTCCTTACTTTTCAAATGAAGAAACCACATTCGCATGGTTAAAAACTATGCAGTTTTCAACAAGCACCTTAGCCTATAATGATCAGTGTATAGTAATCCTCCCTTCTCCAGGTTCAGCAGTTGTCTTTAATACTTACCAAACATTGAGTCTTCTCTGCTGGATTCATTTTAAGTTCCCTTAGAGGATAATTGTACTCTGTATCATTATGAACTTTTATCCACTGTTTTGTACATAGTCATTTGTATGTGTGTATATTTGATAAAGAAATTAGAAATTTGTATGTATATTAAAAATTTGATTAATCATACTCATAAAATCGGGATGCAGGTATTCATTGAAAAAGGATGTCACTGTGAATTATAAATCAGATGATGTAGTTAAGCAGCATAAAAGATTCAAATGAATTCACTCTGCCATGTGTGACTAGACTACTGGGATTACAACCTGGCCCTGAATGCTTTCTTTTGAATGCCTTCTTTTGGAATGGCCTGGAGGCCTTGGCCTTCTTGGTTATGTCTAGTCCTTTCTTCAAAGCAGGTCTCTGTTTCTGTATCTTTTATTCTGTATACACATATAGTAAAATATCCACATAGCACATAATAGAATAAATTAGAATCTAAATCTTAGTTTTCACACACATCTCCTTGGCAGCCTGGTCCCAAAATATAACCATTCACATAGCTTTCTGAGGCTACTTTTTTTTTTATTTTTTCAATTTTTTTTTGCCATATCGCATAGCATGCAGGAATCTTGGTTCCCTGACTAGGGATTGAATTTGTGACCCCAGCAGTGAAACTCAGAGTCCTAACTGGATCACCAGGGATCTTTCTGAGACTATTTTGTGTATGTTCCAACATGCATAATGGTCTTTCCTTTAAAGACAAAAGGTACAGTTCTCTATGTGGATTTTGTGTTTAAAAACATATTTTTGAGATTTTTCTACATAAGTACAGCATTTACATTTCAGTAAGGAAGAGAAAACATGTACCTGAAACTCAGACACACCACAAAGACAATCTTAATCTGCTCTTCCCTTAGAAAGGGCTTCCTGTACTCTGAAACACTCTTACATTTGCCCAGATACATGCTATAGAGAAGGTTCTTTTGTGCTGAAATGGGACAGCATGTATTTTATAAGTAGCTTTATTAGTGGGATCAGTTTTACCTAGTTTGTAATTAAAATTGTTACTCTTTGTGGGCGTAGCACATGGATATACTGATATAAAGTCTCAAATAGTCAGATTCAGTTTTATATCTTGGGTACTTCTGAAAATAAAATTGATTTTTATATTGATAATTTTGATTGCTCACACTTTATAGTATGGGCTGCCAGAGTTGATTTTTTAAAAATGATTATTCTTAACTGGTATCTTATGTCAAACATCAAAAGCTGTACATTTGCAGGGACACATTTTCACATGTCTTAATGTTTTGTTGCTAAAGGCATGGTGGAGCTAGTTCCTGCTTCGGATACCCTCAGGAAAATCCAAGTGGAATATGGTGTGACTGGATCCTTTAAAGATAAACCGCTTGCTGAGTGGCTGAGGAAGTATAATCCTTCTGAAGAGGAATATGAAAAGGTAATTAACTAGTCTCCATATTCTCAAGTGCTTTCATTTTCCAGCTCTTGTGACTAGTCATTCAGTTTTAAGTTGTGAAAGCAGCATTTTTCTCCAAGTAAAGAAAAGAGTGAAAAACAGAATGCTTTTAATGGCAAGGATCTGAGTGAAACCAATGCTAAATTACAAAAAAAGAAAAAAATTCCAAACATATATTTAGAGGCCAGCAAAACCAGAGGTATTTTTATAACCCAGACTGTTGTATTTCATGAAAATATGATAATAGAAGAAGACTGTGGAAGTAGAAGATTCAAGCTCTCTGAGCTTGAATTCAGGTCCCAAGTCACTCACCAGCTATAAGGATTGGTTAGCTTAACCTCTTGTGCTTCAGTGATCTTTGCTATAAAATAGTATAGTATATATTATGACTGTAAAAAATAATGTATAAGATAATTGTGAGAATTAAGTGAATTAATATATGTAAGGCACTATATAGAATAAATTCTATAATTGATACTCTTCCTGTAGGAGGCATCAAGTTTTTGTTTAGTATATTTTTGAATTATATAATAGGAAAGGGAAATCTCTTAGCATATAAGGCTTCTAATGATCCTAAATTGGTCTAAAAAGACTCAAGAATACTTTCAATGGTGATACAGATCTCAGTTTTAATGAGATCCTAGTTTATGTCAAATCATTAATATATTGCATTTGCAGATAGATATGTACAAATGCTACCTGTTGACCCTATGAAAGTAAAGTACAGAAATCTTATCCTCTGTGGTCTTTACACTATTTAAGAGCTCGCTCTTGTAGTTTGGGATAAGAAGCCAGTGTTTGTTTATAGTAATGCTGGCTCTGTGATTCTGGATAAGTTGTCACAAAATAATTGTCCAGTTGTTGTTGTTCAGTCACTTAGTCATGTCCGACTCTTTGCGACTCTGTGGACTGCAGCATGCCAGACTCGCCTGCCATATTTTAAGTGGATTTTAAGCACTTGGCTCTTTTATGTGCTTTGCTTAGTAAGAGGGGATATAACACAGTGGAATCTCATTGCCTGGGTTTAAATCTTGGCTCTGCCATTTAACAATGATGTAATCCTGGGCAGATAATCTCTGTTTTCTTCAGTTTCCCTCATGTGTAAAATGCCAATATTAGTAGTATTTACATCACTGTTTTGTTGTAAAATTTTAAATGAATTTAACTTGTACATATACACACATATACACAGTTTATATGCATGTTTGTGTGTATACATACATATTGAATTCATTAAAAATCTTATAACAAAAGAATGACATAAATACTATTTACATTAATGTAAACAGTATGTGTATGTATGTAGAGAGAGACTAGTGCAATGCCTGGTTTGTGATAAGTGCTGTGTAAACACATGCTCTTATCATCATCACTAATAATTTCTAGAAAGTTATGGAATAAAATTAATCCCATGAGCATGTAGAGCCATATGACTTTCATTCAGAAATGTGGTGTCTTGAGAATAAACTAAATGCATGTGCTTTTAACTCAACATTAGTAAAACTAAGATCATGATATCTGGTCCCATCACTTAATGGCAAATAGAAGGGAAAAAAGTGGAAGCTGTGACAGATTTATTTTCTTGGGCTCCAAAATCACTCGGATGGTGACTGCAGCCAGGAAATTAAAAGATGCTTGCTCCTTGGAAAGAAAGCTATGACAAACCTTAGCAGCATATTAAAAAGTTTTTTAATCCTTTTAATCACATCACTTTCCGCACCAGTGTTCATATACTCAAAGTTATGGTTTTTCCAGTAACCATGTATAGATTTGAGAGTTGAACTATAAAGATGTTTGAGTGCCAAAGAATTGATGCTTTCAAATTGTGGAGCTAGAGAAGATTCTTGAGAGTCCCTTGGACTGCACAGAGATCATACCAGTCAATCCTAAAGGAAATCAATCCTGAATATTCATTGGAAGGCCTGATGCTGAAGCTGAAGCTCCAGTACTTTGGCCACCTGATATGAAGAGCCAACTCATTGGAAAAGTCCCTGATGCTCAGAAAGACTGGAGGCAAAAGGAGAAGGGGGTGGCAGAGGATGAGATGGTTAGATTAGTATCACTGATTCAATGGATATGAATTTTAGCAAACTCTGGGAGATAGTGGAGGACAAAGGAGCAGGATGTGCTGCATTCTATGGGGTTGCAAAGTGACTGGACAACAGCATATGCTTTACATTAAAATATGCATTGTATACAGTTATATCCTTCTATTTGATATTATATTATTAATTTAATCCCCAGGACAGGTAGGGCTACAATGAAAGTTCTTCCAGCTTTGAGAAACTTGATGATGACACATAGTCACTAAATGGACGACAAAGCGCATTCATTATATTATTGGATGTTTAAAGATATAAGCTTACTTTCTTTACACATACATTCCTACAAGCCAAAAAATGGAAAAAAATATTCCTTTATTTAGATTAATCTTTGTCCCAATGTTAAACAGCTGTGGTAAGGAGCAGAGCCTGTGAAGAGCAGGGTTCCACAAACATGATGTTTAAAAGATGTTCAAAGGCAATTATACCCTAAGTAGAGACTGGCAGAATCTCTACCTGCTGTGAGATAAAAACTAGAGAGAAGGGGCAATAACTCTTAGAAGGGTGTTTACTTTTGAAAAACTGGTATCTGTTACCATAACACAGTTTACAAACTATTGAGAAAGTAGAATAGAATTGTATTTTCAATGAGTGATAAATTACTTTAATAATTGTAACCCTGCCTCCTTTAAAAATAATCTTTTTCCTAAGATAATTTTATTTTTCCTTTATTTTTCCTTCCTAAGATAATTTTATCTTTCCTAAGATAATTTATCTTTATTATAGGCTTCTGAGAATTTTATCTATTCTTGTGCTGGATGCTGTGTAGCCACCTATGTTTTAGGCATCTGTGATCGACACAATGACAATATAATGCTTCGAAGCACAGGACACATGTTTCATATTGACTTTGGAAAGTTTTTGGGCCACGCCCAGATGTTTGGTAGCTTCAAAAGGTACTACTATTGTTATTATTGCTAAAGAAAATATAGGCACTTCCTTTTTCACAAATTAATGTCCCCAACTATTATCATATAAAATAAGCTACAAGGATATATTGTTCAACACAGGAAATATAGCCAATATTTTGGCTAAATGGAGAATATAATGGAGAACAATCTTTAAAAACTGTGCATCACTTCATTCTATACATGTAACATATAATATTTTATATCAACTAAACTTCAGTTTTAAAAAAGTCAACTTCAAAAAAACACAATATCCTAAACTTTGCTTTTTTTCTTGCTGTTCTTTGCCTTGTTATTGCTCCCTTTTAGCATAACCAGGGATGAAAAAAGCTTTAAAAGATGAATTTATCGTGTAGTAGAGAAGGATGTGTATGTGTGTGTAACCTTTGTTGAAATGAATTAAGGTGTATTTTGTCTTGTATGGTTAGGGTACCTATTAGAAGTGTTCCCCCAATTGTATAATGGCAACAAGTAGAAAAGTTTTCTCTATATTCATTTGTATATGCTGTTTGATCTCTGTGTGTAGACTGATAATCACCTTGGAAAATATCATATATAAATTCTACCCAAATAATTAGATTATATGATGGCTTTCCTTGAAATGTGAATTTTTAAGAATTGTAAATTCAGAACTTCCTGGTATTAAGTTACCCAGTTAGAAATTGCTATGGCTCAGATAGCTTTAGTTCAGTAACCATGTAATAGCAATAGCACTTGTTTGTATATCTTCTGTAAATAATACTTTGTATATACTTTTTTTTTGTACTTTTAAAATAGGGATCGGGCTCCTTTTGTGCTGACCTCTGACATGGCATATGTCATTAATGGGGGTGAAAAGCCCACGATTCGCTTCCAGTTGTTTGTGGACCTCTGCTGTCAAGCCTACAATTTGATAAGAAAGCAGACAAATCTCTTTCTTAACCTCCTTTCGCTGGTAACTCTGTTCTTTACAAGCATTTAATTAGTTTTATATTAATTCTTCCATGTTTCAGTATCTAAAGATAGATAGTTTGTGATTTTGGGAATAAAATTTATTCTGGTTTTAAATGTCAGGTATATTATTCCTGAAACATTTTAAAATGTTGCCATGTGAAATATGCCAGACACCATTTATAGGTAATGCAATGAAAAAAAGACCCTAAAGTGGGTACCCTGGGGATGAGCGGTAATAGTATCTGAAAGGGACCCTGCGAGTGTCATATGGGATGCTGGTGAATATTTTTTGTCTTTGTATGTTCAGATTTTGGATATTCATTAAGCTGTGCTCATAAGATTCCTGTGCTTTTTTGGATGTATATTGAGACCAAGCCAAAGAAACCCCTGTGATTATTGTGACTGAAATTGATATAGAAACGGAAGACTACACAAAAGGTCTGGATTTCACAGTTTTTATTCCATAAACTGTGACTTCCAAGTTGACCTCCTTGGCCAAGATTTTTCTTATTTCTGAGAGATTTAGGTCCCTAAAATACTAACAAACTCCTCAAAACTCTGAGTTGTTTATTTGCTTTTTTTCTGATTATTTGTCCAGCTTTTAGGGAGGGGTGAGGAACAGACTTGTAAAAAATTTGAGTCATAAGCTCTTTTTCGTTTCTATAGATGATTCCTTCAGGGTTACCAGAACTTACAAGTATTCAGGATTTGAAATATGTTAGAGATGCACTTCAGCCCCAAACTACAGATGCAGAAGCTACAATTTTCTTTACTAGGTAAGGTATATTTAAGTATATTAGAGAAGACACACCCTGTTTAGCTTTGATTTGCTTTCCTTAGTTTAAACAAATGATATATATCAAAATTCTGACCTAACAAGAAAAAATTGTGATTCACAGTATTAGCAAGTAGTAGGTTTATCAAAAGCTTATTTCAAAGGTTTATTTACTGAATAATGTGAAGGATTGGCAATAACACTTGAAAAAATACATTTGTTTTGGAAATTGCCTGGCGGTCCTGTGGTTAGGACTCAGTGCTTTCATTGTAGTGACTCGGGTTCAATACCTGTTCAAGGAACTAAGATTTTGCAAGACATACAGTGTGCGCCCACCCCCACCCCCCATTATTTGTCTCCAAATATGATCTTATATTAAGAATATATATGATTTTAATTCTAAACATTCCATTTATGAACAGGTTTTGCAAAACCTATTTTCTACAGTGCCAGATACAAGGGTTTTTCCTAAAATGGTATCTATACTACTGTATTTTTTAGGATTCTGCCATAACAATTTTCATGGATACCATAAGTGCTTTAAACAGTGAACTCTGGGACAGTGCTGTTCAATTGTTATCACATGATGTAGTGCTTGAAACACATACTCCAATGACTGGCATTTGAACTTGTGATTATTACTTTTAAAGAAAATCTTCCTGGCAAATATGTTCTACAGGTCTGGTGACCAGGTTGGTCACAGACTGGTGATTCCACCTCATTAAATGCCACAGAAGGAGCACATAGGCTCATGTTCTTGTCTTTCCTTTTTCTCTTGCCTTCTTCCTCTCAGTAGAGAACAAGTAGAATACACTGGACTGGACTTGCCTAGTCTCATGAGTCTGGGCTGAGTTGAATTGAAGGAAGCTGACTTTTGTATAGCCTTCCAGACTAATGCTGATAATTTAGGTATTGATGAGTTTTGTTTTGTTTTTTTTCTGAGACTTGTTGGCTCCCCTGGGCCAAACTGTAAGTAAAGCAGGCATGTAAGTGTTAGTCAGTTGGCCTGCCATACCAATATACAGGCGACTTAAAGGAAATTAATCTTCTCATCGTTCTGGAGGCTGCGAAATCCAAGATCAAGGTTCTAGCTAATTTGCTTCCTGGTGAGTATTCAAGTTTGAAGACGACTGACTGCCTTCTCGCTGTTTCCTTGCATGAAGCAGGGAGGAGAAGAAAGAGGAAGAAGAAAGTCATTATAATAAGGACACTGTCTCCATAAAGGCCCTATGGATTTGGGGCTCTAGCATATGAATTTTGGGGGACACAAGCATTCAGTCCATAATAAGGACAAACTCTTTTGTGTGAGGTTCCCTCACACAAGAGAGTTTCTTTTGACACAGTTTCCTCTTTGTGTATTCCTTTATTCTGTTTTCCTTTGCTTGTCTAAAATGATTTATTCAGACCTGCCTTCCAAATTTATCCCCACCAAACTCTGCATCTTGTCTTCTTTTCCCAGCTGAGAGAAATGATAACTTTCTGAAGAAGGAATAAGATAACCAGATTCTACTAGTCAACTCTTTGATAGAATGGGGTTTTGGAATTTTGGATTACTTTGGTTGCTTCCTTGTATGTTTAGTTGCTGCCTTCCATATTTATTAAAGTGAATAAAATGAACTATCTTTTGGCATTATACCAACCATCTTCTATCCCTAATAGTGTTTTAAATTAGTATTGGACCCCACAGAGCTTAAGAAATCCAAGCATCATTTCTTAGATACAGTGGGATGGGATGGAATGAAGGCTTTCCTGTGCTAAAATATTTTTGTTGGGGTGAGATACATTGTAACAGGTTTATGGCCTATGGGGCAAAGGGAATCCTGACAAAGAATCTACTTACTGTTTTTAAAAGAAATGGAATTGTTTATTGTCTTTTATTATATTTAAATAAATGAGAATGTTTTCTCAGTGTGTTAACACATTTTGTTTTTATTTTGTAGACTGATTGAATCAAGTTTGGGAAGCATTGCCACAAAGTTTAACTTCTTCATTCATAACCTTGCTCAGTTGCGTTTTTCTGGTCTTCCTTCCAATGATGAGCCGATCCTTTCATTTTCACCCAAAACATACTCCTTTAGACAAGATGGTCGAATCAAAGAAGTTTCTGTTTTCACTTATCATAAGAAATACAACCCAGATAAACATTACGTAAGTTTGGTTTGGTATCAGTAGAGACTCGTGCTTGCAGTCTTCTTCTCTCCTCCTTCCTTCACTGACTCTGATAAAGTTCAAGCATTTCTTCTTTTCATACTTCTTTCTTCCATGGATGGTCCAAAACCCCTAAATATACTTGGAGCATCCCTAAACTGTTTTTTGGTGTTTATTTCTTGGTAAATTTGCTCCAAAACCATGAAGGATCGATGTTACTCTTCTTTTCAGAGACAAGACTGAATTTGTTCTTAATTTCAAAGGTAAAGCTTGCTCACTGTAACAAACTCAACCAATATAGAAGTATATAAAGTAAAAATCTTAAGTTCTCATTCCACTCTCGGGATGAAGTGTTATAAAATATGCACATAAAGTTTGTTTTTTGAACAGAGCAGAATCTTTTAGTGTGCTTTTCTTCCCGCTTTAATAGTATAACATTAACTGTCTTTTTTGCTGTTATTTTTGTGCTAATATTTTTGCCAGATAATACGTCAGCCTTCAAATTTTTGACAAATTGATAGAGTTTAGAAAGTGACTTCACTAGTATTTTGATTTTCAGCTGTTATTAGTAAAGTTTTATATGTTCACAGTATTTTAGGACACCATTTAATTGAATAATTCATTGTTTCCCCCAGTGATTTATGATACCTTCTTTATTTATTTATTTTTTTTTTTTTTGATACCTTCTTTAAATATACTGAGTTTATATCCCTGAATTTATTTCTCGTAGTCTGTAGATATAAATGACTCTGTGCACCAGTATTTTACTCTGTAAAGTATGTTATAGTGCAGTTTAAATATCCAGTAAAACAGGTTTTCCCCATCTCCCTGTCACACTATGTTTTGCCATCTCCTTTGCTCTCTTTAATGAATTTACTTGCTAATATTTTCATTGAAAATGCACTGCACTTATAAATTTGGGTAGTATATTTATTTAATCCTAGAAACAGAATGCCTTTCACGTTCCAATTCTTATTTGTCTTAGACAGTACTCTTAAACATACTCTTAGAAGGTAATTAAATATGTCGATATTTGTTATTTCCTATTGTGACATACATATTACAAAGTGAAGAGCCCTTGGTATATATAATGATCAAGCTGAAAATTTTCTATCAGGAAAGATTATATTATAAATTTAACATGTTTGGGATGTGATTTCCTTTCAGATTTATGTAGTCCGAATTTTGAGGGATGGACAGCTTGAGCCATCATTTGTGTTCCGAACATTTGATGAGTTTCAGGAACTTCACAATAAGCTCAGTATTATTTTTCCACTTTGGAAGTTACCAGGGTATGTTCTCATTCTTGTTCATTAATGTTGTTTTAATAGGAAACAGTTTCTTTATTACCAAGTACAGGTCAAAAGCTTTGTGTTAAGTTAGTGTAAAATACTATGGACTGTGTGTGACTAATTTTCCTTGGTATCACAAGAGCCTACTACGTACTAGACATAAACAAGTAAGTTTTTCTTGAATGAATAAATAATCACAATCTTAAGATATGGGATTTTCTAGCTTTCTAAATCACTGCAGGAATAATTATTGTGATCATACTGAGTTTCTCTGAAAAATAAGAAATTGCGACATTGCAGTAATCAAAATGATAGTGTTTAGGTTTGTTTTTGGTGCCTTTTAGAAACCTTCAGTTTTTAATGTAGGTAATGACCAGTAAATTCCTGTGTTGAATTGCTCACATTCTTCTCAGACTAGATTTCAAAAATAAGGAGGCAGAAAAGTGGGTATGAGTTTATTTCCATGTGCGGTCTCATTTTTCTATTGCTACCAAAATTAGCAGTTGAGATGATTTGAGCTCTGTGGCATTTGTGGATGTTACTGGTATCTACAATAGCTGTAATTATTGAATAATGGTTGTTTTGGAGGATAAGATCTGCATATTTGTGAATGGTTAATCTTGAGAAGAAATAAGTAGGAAATAAGTAATAAATATAGTGTATTACCAAAACAATGTCCCTTTTGTACCAAGGTCATAAAAGGATGATGTTTCAACTGTTTCATCTCCAGTACTTGGAAAAGAAATAAAAAAATTATAGTGAATTAAGGCTCCACTTTCTATTTCAGTGTGTAAAAGGGTATTTCTGAGTATTGATTCTATAAATACTCCCAAATGAAATTACTTAAATCCCACTTCTTTTTGTCTTTCTTTTGTAGCTTTCCTAATAAAATGGTTCTAGGGCGAACACACGTAAAAGACGTAGCAGCCAAGAGAAAAATTGAATTAAACAATTATTTACAGAATTTGATGAGCGCTTCAACGGATGTAGCAGAGGTGACTATCCTAACCAAGAAATAATAACATACTTTTTTGTGTGCTGCATAATATTTAAATTAATTAATCTTTCTTCTCTTCCACTTTAGTGTGATCTTGTTTGTACCTTTTTCCACCCTTTACTTCGTGATGAGAAAGCTGAAGGAATAGCTAGGTCTGCCGGTGAGATTATTTTTTTGAGATTATTTTTTTCTTTATTGGTAATTCATGGCTTCCCTGTGACTTCTCTGTGGATGTGGTGCAGTGTCAGTGGGGTCACTGTCTATAACCAGTGAGAATGAGATGAAAGTATTTTTTCTAAGGCAATCTATTTCTGGGTAAAGATAATTTCCTTAATGAGTGTGATTACTAAAGAAATTTATATCAATGGCCTACCATATTCTTACCTTTTTTTCTCCAACATGTGAGGATCCTGGAATTAGAGCAAAAACTTTTGTTGCACCTTGAACCACTGCAAGCAGCATCACATAAAAATGAACATCTTTGTATTTTCAGATGCAGGTTCCTTCAGTCCTGCTCAAGGCCAAATAGGAGGAGCAGTGAAATTATCTATCTCTTACCGAAATGGTACTCTTTTCATCATGGTGATGCACATCAAAGATCTTGTGAGTGATTACAAATAATGATGATTGTAGAGGAAAGCTATTCTGTGGTAGGAAGCATTACTGTTAAGGGAATGCTTTTCTTTACAGGTTACTGAAGATGGGGCTGACCCAAATCCATATGTCAAAACATACCTACTTCCAGATACCCACAAAACATCCAAACGTAAAACCAAAATTTCACGAAAAACTAGGAATCCAACATTCAATGAGATGGTAAGTTAAAAATCTATTAAAATCTGCTAACTCTCAGTCAGCTACTATTTGGACATAAACACCACTTTATTTATGTATGTTAACGTTATATCCACATAAAAATGTTCAGATAGAGATTTGGAAGCAAATAATACTTCCAAATAATTTGGAAGCAAATAAATTTATAAAATTTATGAAATTTATGAAAAATTATGAATTTTTGAAAACCATGGAATACCCTTTCAGTACTTTAAAAGCATATAAAATGTTTGGTGAAGATAGTTGGTATTATTCTCACAAAGTAGTATTGTCTTTTTTTCTAGTTAGTGTTACATGCTTTCAAGAAACTGAAATGTGGTCAGTTTTTCAGTTTTTTTAGTCAAACAGAGAGGACTTGATTAAGGAGATAATGCCCAGAAGTTACGGTGAAGCAGTCTTGAAAAAAAAAATTGTGCTGCATGCAGTGTTTGAAAGAGAATAGCTTTATAACACTCCAGATTTGCTGTAAACTGCATTTGTAGTTGGCGAGTTTGCACTGAATGATGGATAATCAGAAATTATCACCTCATGGTATATAAAATCCAGAAAAAAGAAAATCTCCTTTTGGGAGGTTGTAATCTCTCACTTTTAATAAAATTATTACAATTACTCTGTCCCAACTTGCTTCCTTCTACTCTTTTTCTTCCATTCTCTTCCTTCCATTTCTCTTTTAAAGATGATCTATTAAATCATCTTAAGGCAGGCTGCTTTGTAATTTCCCTTCCCCATACCTCCATTTCAGAAAAACCATGTTTTTAATTTTTAGCCAATAGTAATTTTCTGCTTTGTGCATTTGTATGTCAGACACTTGAAGGAATGACAATGCAATCCAAGACTCCTGAAATACAACATGTGCATCTAAAGTATAAGACAAATTCTACTAGATGTGTCGTAATCATGTTATTAGTTGAAGTCACTCTGACTAATAATCTTTCTTATGTTTTTACATAAAATAATCTTATAAACCAGACAGATAAATAATTTGTAATCTATTGTTTCTTTTTGTCTTTGCTATAGCTTGTGTACAGTGGATATAGCAAAGAATCCCTAAAACAGAGAGAACTTCAGCTGAGTGTACTAAGTGCAGAATCTCTGCGGGAGAATTTTTTCTTGGGTGGAATAACCCTGCCGTTGAAAGATTTCAACTTGAGCAAAGAGACGGTTAAATGGTATCAACTGACTGCAGCAACCTCTTTGTAAGTTAGTGAATTTTTGAGCTTTGGAAGCAAGAACAGTTATGTGTACACACATGTGAACTTTGTATATTTTTATACTTGGACAGAAATTATACAGTAAATGTACTTGCTGCATTTCAACATATCTGGTGGACCAACAGTCACTTAACTTTTATGAATTTGTTGACGTCATTGCTATTTTAAAGTCATTGTATAGAATGCTGTAAATCTTAAACTTAATATATAATAAGTCCTAAAAAAGACTTTGAGTTGGTGAAGGAGTTAATCCTTTCTTGAGTAATTGAGTAATAGCTTTAGTGTGGTCGATACTATTTTGTCAGTTCAACCATCTATTTTGTATTGTTTCTTACACAGACACAGCACATTTGTTTTCCTGTTTTGCACCTTTTACAGCCTTTACCACTGTGTATGTTCACAAACACCAAAGGAGAGGAAAGGTGCAGGATGTTACCATAAAATGCAGCTGCTATTCATAGGGCCGATAAGCAAAGCACAAATAATAAATAGTTAAGAACTACTAAGTAGTTTATAGAGTAGGGGAAATAACACTGCTTTTTATTATTCATGTCTTTCAAGCCTTTTTCAGAATAAGTGCCAGTCACTGAAGTTGTAAATAATGGTGCCTTAACTTCATATGCTTCTCTGGTACTTCATTCTGAGCTTTTTCCTGACTTGATAAATAGTTCAGTAGTTTTCACTCACTTTTTACTAAAACAAGAAATTATGTACACTTACTAATGTTTTTCCCACAGATAGATAATTTTCTATACTTCAGATGTATAACTTATTTAAACATCAGCCATTTGATACATGTTTTTGTTGCCCAGTAACTGAATGAGATTCATCAACATAACTGTACACTAAATTCCATCATTCCATTATAATCCTCCTTTTATTCCCAGGAGTGTGAACTGAAATTTGGTAATTTCACCCCCATGTACCTATACTCCACTCTCTCATTAAACAAGAGAAAATGTGTGCATCCAAGTGTCCATTCCTGTTCTATAGAAGAACTCCACAAGTAGGGCAGACTCTTCACAAGAGGCCCAGGACAAGAACTCCAGGGTCCACACTAAATTTTAATGTATACCTTTATGGCACAGTTTATCTGATTTATTCAACATTTGTAAGCATTTTACATTCACATGAATTACTTTCCTTAATACAATATTTAGAATCATTAGGGACATGATTGAAATCATTCTATAGTAACCATTAAGAATAGGGTTCATTTTTATTAGTTATTCATTCAACTTCACACATAAATTTGTTTAGTTTGGATAAATAGGTATACATAATATTAATTCTCATGGCTAGAACAGGAATTCAGACACTTTTAAGTAGTAAGAGATTGTAGCAATCTAGTTGCTGTGAGATAACTGATAAAATATACAATAAAAAATACCAAGAAAGGGAGGACAATCTCTGATTCAGTTGCCCAGAACAGAATTTTTATAAACTGTGCAGATGTTTAATGTAAATGGTGATACCTGCAGAGCAGACATATTAGAGTTGAGATGTATCAGTGGGACAGGTTAAAAAGAAAACTTGAATTTTTGGTGCCTAACACTAATGGTCCATTTGTAGGATACCCCATATATGAATGTCTTTTTTTATATTAAAATGTGTTGTCTATTTAATAAGTTAATTAAAATGCAGATCAGAGCACCACCATTTATTTGTTTTTTCCATATACAGTTAACATTTCCTTAAAGTGTGTAAGTAACTTTGCAAACGTAAAAAAGTACTAGATATTTTCACTTGTCTTTAAGACCTAATTCCATTCCATGAATTGTCACTTAGCCACTGTTTTAAAAAAAAAGTACTGTCTTGGTAAAAGGTCACTGTTACTTGGACTCAGTGTATATTTGCAGTCTTGTTACAGCAGTGTCTTTTACAAATAGTAGAGCTAGAGAACGGGATGTCACTTATCAATTATAAGAAATAAGGATTCTTATCCAAAAGTGTATATTATATACTCTGTATAGTTAACCAGAGTTCAAACAAGTGGTAATGTTTCTCTTAATTTAACTCGTTATGTGCCTTCTTTGGTCATTAAAAAACACATATATTAAATGTATTTTAAATATAAGTTATTTCTTTGTGAATGCTAATCGTCAGCCCTTACCAAAAAAATAAATTGACAGAGGCGCCTCTTTGCACTACTTACTATCAATAAACTTTAAATTGGTTCTTTTTGAAACATATTTTTAAAGCTTGCATTAAAGTAAATCTGAAACAAATGTTTAAACAAACTAGCTAAGACACTAATTTTTATGTATAATCACAATGTTTCACACCTACCTTTATTGAGTAAAAATAGTTATGTTACATGTAAGACTGTGTGTAAAGAATAATGGAGCTAAAATACATTTTGTAATGATCATAGTGTAACTGAAGTAGAATTTTTCCCCTTGCAGTGTTTTGGAATTTGAAAATAATGGTTTCTCAAAGAACCTATTATTTTCTGTACTGAGTAATCCAATGTAAGACTTGCACTGATGTTTTTATTACTGCCTTTATAAGAATCTATAGGTATCTCAATGTTAAGGCATGTATGATCTTTGATAAAATATTCTTTTATCTTTTCAAATTAATGTTGTATAAAACTTGTATAAAACTTTCAATATTTTGCCTTAAATTGGATGACTGTTTTTTCTATGATTCACGTGGCATTTAAAAGAGAAAAAATTCAATTTGATACTTAAGATAAAAAATGGATAAAGCCCCATTACCATAATCCATGGATTTATTTACACGCTGTTTGACTAGCAGTGCAGATAGGAATATATATGGCAATTAGTCTCATCTATAAGAACCAAATACTTTAATTATATTAAGGTAGCAAAGATGTATAATATTTTTATTAATACCTTAAATATATTCAGTGGATTGAATGTGACTTCATAACTGTACTATGATTGTATTAAAATATTTCGGAAACAAAGGAACTATGCTGTCATTTTCTTCATCAATATGTTAACACTTTTGGTTCCAAACTTGGATAATAAGCTCACTATTGCTCTCTTTGCATCTCACCCAGGAGTTTATTAGGTTCAGGTAATCCTCGATTTCAGAACTGCCCTGCGATTTGCCCTTAAAAATGTCCAGAGAGTGTCTGACATTTAAGTGTGGTTCTTGGAAGATCTGGATTGCCACTTTGTTAGAGTTCCATCACCATTTCATTGAAGTGAAATGCTTCTATTAGTATGGTTCCTGCCTTTGGTAGTTTATTTAAATACTAAAGAGTATAGTGACAGCCATACTGTAGACATATCTTCAGAACAGAGACTGTAGTTCTTAATACCATACCTCCATCCTGGAATGATACTAGTGAGGTTGTGGTTCTCTAATCCTAGAGGTAACATGTAAAAGGGCCAGAGACCATGAAAGAGCAGTAACTTAATTATAGCCAGTTTATTTTTTGAAACATTTTGTCAGGCAAATTTTAGACATAAAAAGTTAGACAACAGTTTAATGAACTCCATGAATGAATCCCATCACATGCCTTCAAACAGTTACTTACCTTAGGGATAATCTTCTTTGGTCTGTATTAATGAAGATGTGCCTAGGTGTAGATACCTTTTTATATTTTTCTCTTTAGGATTCTTAAATATATGGATCAGTAACTTTCCTCAGTTCTGAATAATTTATTATGAATTATTTTCCAATTCACTACTTCTCTTTTCAACTGTTTAACCCCCATCCATTGAGATTTTGATTTTGGTTATTATATTTTTCACACCTATTTGGGTTTCTTTTTGTTTGAATCACAAACGAAAAGACAAAGGACTTCCAGGATCAATGAAGAAAGAGTAGGTTTTTTTTTTTTTTTTTTTTCAACAAACGGTGTGAGGACAACTAGATAACCATGTGCAAAAAAATAAAATAGGACTCTTAGAACATAAAATTTAATTAAAAGTGGATCAGAGACTTAAACATAACTGAAGTTAAAAATCCTAGAAGAAAACACAGGTGTACATCTTTGTAGCTTAGATAGGTTTCCTCAAGTGTAGGTCACAAAAAAGGACAGGCAACAAAAGAAAAATAGATAAATTTGGTTTCATTAAAATTAAATATATATGTGCATAATAAAGTAAAAGGACAACTCACAGAATGGGAGAGAATATTCACAGATCATGTATCCGATAAGGACCTGGCATCTTGAGTACATAAAGCACTCTTAAAATTCAAGAGAAAGCAAAGAATTTTTTAATACATTTCTCTGGAATGGCCAAATATCACATGAAGAGATGCTCAAGTCAATTGGGCTTCTCTGGTGGCTCAGATGGTAAAGAATCTGCCTGCGATGTAGGAGTCGTGGGTTCGATCCGTGGGTTGGGAAGATCCCCTGGAAAAGGGAATGGGAACCGACTCCAGTATTCTTGTCTGGGAAATTCCATGAACAGAGGAGGCTGGCGGGCTATAGTCCATGGGGTCGCAAAGAGTCAGACATGATTGAGTGACCAACACTTTCACTTCATCTCAGTCATTAGGGAAATACAAAAAAGGCATGTGAAAAAATGCTCAACATCACTAATAGTTCAGCTCAGTCGCGTCCGACTCTGCAACCCCATGAACCGCAACACACCAGGCCTCCCTGTCCATCACCAGACTCCCGGAGTTTACTCAAACCCTTGTCCATTGAGTCGGTGATGCCATCCAACCATCTCATCCTCTGTCGTCCCCTTCTCCCGCCCTCAATCTTTCCCAGCATTAGGGTCTTTTCAAATGAGTCAGCTCTTCGCATCAGGTGGCCAAAGTAATTGGAGTTTCAGCTTCAACATCAGTCCTTCCAGTGAACACCCAGGACTGATTTCCTTTAGGATGGACTGGTTGGATCTTCTTGCAGTCCAAGGGACTCTTAAGAGTCTTCTCCAACACCACAGTTCAAAGGCATCAGTTCTTCGGCACTCAGCTTTCTTTATAGTCCAACTCTCACATCCATACATAACTGCTGGAAAAACCATAGGCTTGACTAGACAGACTTTTGTTGGCAAAGTA